TGTTAGTTGGGAAGTCCTGTCGGATAATTTGGTAGTTTACTGGTAAACTTTGAACGTTTCCAGTAATATACCCTCCCGTTGCAACACTATTCATGATCAATGTCTCTTAATTACCACATTCTGCAGAGTCTTCCACACACATTCAATTCCTTTGTTTCACCAGTGGCCTCACCGGTAATTTGTTTGGTGTTATTAGAGGATATTTCTCCCACTTTGAAATGCATTAGTCAATATTGATAATGTAATCTCCATCCAGAATGATGCATCTTGCTGCTTGTGCGTTTGAGTGAATTCATTTCCCTGGGGAATTTAGCCTTAAAGTCTGTGTTTATGGAGGGCTAGTCAGTGAGGTGGGTCGCTCCTGGAGGAGCTTTATGTAATTTCTGGAAAGTAATTCTATAAAATAAATAAATAAAATAGTTATTTTTTAAATGGACAGAGAATTGCCAGTACTAGGGATGAGTCTGGTTAGTGGTGTGAAGACTGGACACTCAACCTATTCTCAAGATCACTCACTTCACTCTTGAACTCAGTCCTTTCACCCATTTTACGTCCACATCCTAAAATACGTCCTCTTGTTCCTCTCATCTCTCCATCTTGTTCTTTTTCCCAGCGCTCTTAACCCTTTCTCTCATCTCTTGAGTATATTGGGGACTGATTGCTCTCCTAGTTCCCTGCCACACAAATTAATCTTGTAAAGAGTCCTAAATGTATCTGTGATGTCTGCCAAATATGAAGTTCAATTATTATACTGAGTCACACACTCCAGGTAATTGGCAACGTTCATGTTCCAGCATTTTGTACCCACTTGAAAAAGATGTATCCTGCCTGGCATCAGGATTTTAATGAATCTGGATTTTCCTCCCTGATCGAGACCGTTTGGGTGTTTTTTTAAGTACTTGTCGCTATACTGCAGTGTTATTATAGTTAGGCTTCTGATGGGGTTGCTGGCCTGCTGAGCGGTGGTGCATGAGGCTTTGTTCAATATCTGCGTTGGGGGCAGTTTTTAATCGCTGTTACAGAATGAGAGCTGCCCTCGCTTGATATTTGAATTCTGAAAAGAACAAAATGAAAGAGAATTTTATTTATTTATTTAGATTTAGATTTATTTTAATTTATTGACGCTGTAATGATATATTTACTGCCTGGTACTGATGCTCTAGAGATACTTAGAGAGACAAATCCAAGCCTTAATTGCTCTCTGTAGTAGAGGTCTGTTGGACTGCAATCAGCAATCAGCAAACTCCATCTGTATCTGCATAATGTGAACCGAGAAGATGGCAGCCAAATTCTTTAACAAATTTGCTTATTTTGTTTCTCATTGTGGACCAAGCCTTGGTTCTATGCAGTACATTGTCCATGCACAACTATAGGAAGAGAAAGACTGGCCAATTCAGTGGAAAATACATTAACTGTAGTATTCCATGAACAAACGTGTGCGTGTGTACAGGTTTTTAAAGGGTCAGCCATTGAAGTGGAGGTTCTCACCTCTAGCTGCATGAGTGTAATCCTCTCTATTGCGGGATTTAGGTGGGAAGACTTGGTTATTAAGATAATTTTGATGGAAACACACCCAGCTGTTGTTTTCAGAAGTACCGTAACAATACAACAAAGATAAAACCAATTTATCATTGCTAAAATGTACTGCGGTCTTTGTCATTTTAACAAAGCTTTGAATCAAAACACTTCTACTGTTTATGCCCCCCACGTTGGTCATTGATTAAGCTATCTTTATCTGTTGTGTTTCAAGAGCATCTCCATTGTTGTCCTGTGGTCTCATTACAATATTGTAAAGCATATGGATACTAAAAGGTCAATTATAGCTAAGTACTACAGGAGAAAGGAATAGCTGCAGTAGGCTACTCTGAATTAACATTCAGCATAGCAGACTAACTCAATGCTGGACCTCAGAGCTAGTTCCACTGCTGATTTTAATTTGTCCTCTCTAATCAAGGACTGATTTAGACCTGGGACACCAGTTGGATGGAGTTAATCATCAGGTAGAACAGAAAAACAGCAGTACTCGGGACCTCCAGGCTCGGATTTGAATTCCCCTGCTGTATAACATTCAGCTAATTCAACAATGATGACATTCAGTTTGTCAGAGTCGCTCACACTCTCCAGTCTGTGATGCAAGTCGCCGATGTCACTGCATCCCAGTATTCACCCGCCTCTGAGAGAACCTGACGTTTTAAAACTATTGTTGAGACAAATCACATGGGTATATAAAGGGAAGGTGATGCGGCCTACGGGGTCAACCGCTTTTTTTCCAAAGAAAGAAAGAAGAGGAAGATGTGGTGATGATGAAGGGAATGTGTTGTGAGAAGGGGATGGAGTCATCATGGGCAAGACAACTCTGTGGCTGCGTCACGTGGCACCCTATTTCCTAGATAGTGCACTACTTTTGACCATAGCCTTATGGGCCCTGGTCAAAAGCAGTGCACTATATAGGGAGTCATTTGGGACACACCCTCTGTCTAGCTGCTATGTTTTCATCACTGCTGCTGAAAGGGAATCAGATCAGATTTATCCCACTCTAAACCCATCCAGACGTTTGGCTGGAAGCTCTGAATTGAGAGTGAGACCTCTCTTTATCGGATGTTAGTGCACGGATAATGCCAACCAGTGGAGGCTGATGGGAGAAGCTATAGGAGGATGGGCTCATTGTAATGACTGGAATGGAATAAATGGAACGTAGTCAAACATGTGGTTTCCATATGCTTACGAAATGCCAACTGATGCCAACGTGCCCAGGAAACAATTCAAAGCTTACCAGGAACTTCTTATCTTATCCTCATTTAATTTGCCACCGATTGTCCCTGGCTTAGCTCTGCCAGGCTGGTCTGATAGGGTGTTTGGGGACCTGCTTAGCTCTGCCAGGCTGGTCTGATAGGGTGTTTGGGGACCTGCTTAGCTCTGCCAGGCTGGTCTGATAGGGTGTTTGGGGACCTGCTTAGCTCTGCCAGGCTGGTCTGATAGGGTGTTTGGGGACCTGCTTAGCTCTGCCAGGCTGGTCTGATAGGGTGTTTGGGGACCTGCTTAGCTCTGCCAGGCTGGTCTGATAGGGTGTTTGGGGACCTGCTTAGCTCTGCCAGGCTGATCTGATAGGGTGTTTGGGGACCTGCTTAGCTCTGCCAGGCTGGTCTGATAGGGTGTTTGGGGACCTGCTTAGCTCTGCCAGGCTGATCTGATAGGGTGTTTGGGGACCCCCTGCTGGCCAGTGATAGCCCATCTGGCCCCCCTGCCTTCAGAGAGTCTGGGTGCATCTCAAATGGAATCCTATTCCCTATAGCCCTCAAACTCAACTCTAGACCTCCAAGCCAGTTCCACAGCATTTATTTCATTGTTCCCCTCTAATCAGGGACTGATTTAGACCTGGGACATCAGGTGGGTGCAATGGATTATCAGGTAGAACAGAAGACCTCATAGTGTAAGTGTTGAATACCCCTGCCCTATAGTGCACTGCTTTTGACCAGAGTCCTATGGGCCCTGGTCAAAAGTAGTGCACTATATAGGGAATAGGGTGCCATTTGGGACGCAGACAGTATCAGCTCTTTAAGTGGTGTAAGTGACGTTACTGATGTTCTTCTAGATGCTGTCTTTCTCCTTAATGTTGTTGTTGTTATAACAACACGGGTCTGTTCTCTCTCGGTCTCTGTGCGTGCAGAGCTGATTGGCAGCTTGTTCCGTGTGACAGCCATATCACTCCAAGAGGACAACCACCTGCCGATTACATTCTGAAGAGCACTGGATCACTAATGTTAGTCCATTTACATAGAGGACCATGCTTAAAAAACACAAGGGAGAGTCTAGATATACCACTACCTCTCTTTATCTGAGATTGAATCACAGATCCCCATGGGACAGCTAATTGGTGTACAGTGGTATTCTAATTTCCCTCATTAAGAAACGTCAATTGGCTTAAGAACAATTCATTAAATAATGTTACAAAAACTGGGAGTAATGTGTTAATTATTAAAATATTAAAAGACCCTATATTTAAAACCACTGTCTGGATGTATAATGGTAAGATTAAACTACATTCCTATAAAATAGTGTTCACAGCGTGAAATGAAATATAATCGGAATTATTAGATACTCTGAATACCGTATATTAATTCAAAGCACAGGAAGCGTGTTTCCTCGACTAATCGTAGAAGCTGGACACAGGATTTGATTGAACAAAGACAGTAATTCAATTGATAGATATTCGAGACACGAGTCAGGAGGAGAACCAAAAGGAAGAGTGTTTAACTCTCTAACGATACAGTGTATGAACCACAGGAGGCTGCTGAGGGGAGGCCGGCTCATAATAATGGCTGGAACAGAGAGAATGGAATGGCATCAAACACATGGAAACAATGTGTCAGATGTATTTCATACCATTCCACATATACCGCTCTAGCCATTACCACGAGCCTGTCCTCCCCACCAACCTCTTGTGGTATGAATGTAATCAAGAAAAAACTATCTCCATGTCCTTCAGTTAGACAACTTTAAAAGACCTTTAAGAGATCGTGCCTTGTGTTTCATTCCCAGGCACACAGCCAGACATGCATCCCCATATTAATCAGGCAGCAGCCTCTCTTATGAGGGAGAAGGATTAACCTATCACTGTCTGGAGACTGAGGCGGATGATGTGGGTGCTGTGGTGAGGCTGCTGACGGGTCTAGGAGAGGGGCTTACGTCTGGGTCACCTTCATTAGGAACCAAACGGAAGAAAATGGACTGAAACAATGAGGGATTATGCCTGAACATACCCAATAAGAAACTCTATTTTTCTTCTTCTAATGAATACAACCATGGGTTCCTTGTTTTGGGGGGAGTGGGGTGTGGGGGTTGGTTAGTATGACCTTTGACACCCTCCCCCTTTTGTTCCCTATTGCGTCAGCATCAGAGTAGAGGAGAGAGGAGCGTGGGGAGCGTAGTGGGTCCAGGGTGGTGCCCTGTCCCTCTCTGAGGGAGGCGGTGAGTGCGTCTATCCCTTTACTGCGTCATCGATGCACAATCACACGACAGGATGCGAAAGCTCCGCTGTGGGGACCAAGGGGCCGGCCCTCCCACTCCAGGTATATAAGGGTCACTCCTGCACCTTCAGGAGAAGTTTCCCTCTGTGTGTTCAGCCTGTACGCCCTCTACTGTTTCCTACACTACTCCTCTTCTCCTCTACTGCTCTCCGACTGTTGAGCTCAGCCTGTGTGGACTGACTGAAGGTAAGAGAACTTTGCGTGGCTATTTATTTTTCTAATTTGTCTGCTGTGAGTTCGCTGTGGTTATCGGTAAATAAGCTTAATGGACACTTGGAGCACGGTACTAATTCCATGTAACAATGGGTTCTCTACAATTGAAGTACTGGGTTTAAGTTCAGGTCAATGAGTGGAATAATTAGATTGGGTTCCAGTCAATTATGTGAGGATGTAATTGTGTTTTTCATATGAAATCTGTCTTGAATTAATTTATTGACATTCATTCACTGTACATACAGTTTGAGAATTGATGGTGTACTGACTCCTGTTTAATATCTGGTGTATTATCGCTGCTGGAGATGCTTTACTTCTGATTGACGTCCCTCTAGATTTGTTTTAATTCTATACAACCCAGAGAGTTCTTGTTTGTTGAATCTACATGAATTATTCACTAGTCCGTTGGTGGTGTGGTGGTGTGAAATCACAGACTCCTTCACCCTGGAGAGTACTTTTCCATGGCTCTTTAAACAGAGAAGAGTCTGTTTTGTTCTGCTCTGAGGCATCTTGAGGTAGAAAAGTAAATTCTCCTGACTGGAAGCTGAAGAAGCATAATTGTGTTGGTCCTTTCCTCCAGGATTATATTTCGACAGGAAAGACTAATCCATCAGTACTACTACCCCACAACTTAGATGGATGGTCAATCCATATTGAGTGGGAAAGGGCACTTTGTTTTAACAAAATGTATTGTTTTGGACAATTGCCTTCTACCCCTGTGCTGAGTAATGCAACAAAAAGGTTTCAGTTGTGTCATGAGAAAAATATCATAAGGTATTCCATATGCTGGCATTGTTACCGTTTTACATGAAAATTAGATAGAGAGAGATGGATGGAACATCAGAAAAGATTAGCATTAAAAGAGAACATTAACACCTCTGCATAGATCTGTATTAAATGTGAATCTCTCTCTCTGTGCCTCCTCCCTCAGCAATGAATGCAGTTATCTGTGTATGTGTACTGCTGTCTGCGCTCTCTGGCAGCAGTTTGGGGCGCCCGTCGCACTCGCAGGATGAGGGCAAGCCTGAGCCCCCCCAGCTCGACAGCGTTATGTCTCCCCAACACACACGCCACACCCGCTCAGCGCCCCCCAGTGGACAGCTCACCCCCTTCTCCAAACCGGCAGAGGACGAGGCAGAGGACAGCCGCACCAATCTGCGTGAACTACTGGCAAGATTGGTATCCAGGAAAGGTAAGACGTAAGATCTGTTAAACGTTTGTTAATTAAAGTAAAATAGAACATTGTTAAAGGTGAATAAATGTCATATTCTAGGATTGTATGTTATCACAATCCCAGTATCCCTCACTCATGAACTAAGTCACCAATTCTATTAAGTCATCTATTAAGGCACCTTATTCTCTATGTAGTGCACTACTTTGAACAGGGCACATAGGGCTCTGATCAAAAGTAGTGCACAGGACAGTGACATTGTATGGGTTTTGGATTGGCATCATCTCCACTCTGATAGCTTTCCCATCTCTATAGTTAAAAGCACTTTTCCTCTGAGAGGGAAGAGAAGTCCCACAGTAGGAGACAGACAGCCAGGGAGGAGATAGTCGATAGAGGGAATTATCCAGACTGAGAGGAGACCTTCCCTCCAGTGGTTTTCATCATGTAACAGAGATGAAAAAACATGACATCGTTAGAGAAAGAAAGCCTCCCCCCATCCTTCCTCTCTCTCCGTGCTTCCTCCTCTGTCATCATCCATCTCTCTGGCTGTTGTCACAATCTACTGATGGCTTTGTCACGCTGCTGTTGTCCTGCCCTGCTCAAACTGGAGTTTTTGAGTTTTATAAAGAATCAAATTAATTGCTATATATTGCCATTTTTAAAGGACCTCCACAAAAGTTGAGTGTGGGTTAATGCGGTTTGTAGATGATATCATTAACTAGTCTGAAGAGTGCCAGAACATTTACACACATATAAGAATAAACATTTACAAACAGAGAAGTAAATGCCAAAGCATGGAACAGTCAGTATCTCCAGTGGATTGCTAATGACTGACCGGCATCAGTCCCTGGGATGATGCTGAGCGGATGTTGCTGAATGGTTCCATTAGATAGCTAGCTGACGCTGATTTAGTCAATTAACAAGTGTTACTTTGTTTCAATCCAATAGGTCTTCCCTGAACCCTGAAACAAAAAATGGTTAAGAAACACTGTCTTAGTCAGCCATACGTAACATGTATCATCAATACACTTTCCATGTTATGTTCTGATCCAACATATCAAGAAGTTGTGTTATCATGATCCTGATCAGTCAGAAGGACGGGATGCATTCCAGGAATAATTATATTATATTCTTTCATCTAATGATAATCATTTTAAACCAACAGAAAGACTCCAGTGCCCGATATAGTACAGATGATGTGATGTCTGTCTCTGTTCCAGACATAGAGATATACATTATACCCATATACATTAGAATATATATACATTAGAATATATATATACAGTTGAAGTCGGAGGTTTACATACACTTAGGTTGGAGTCATTAAAACTTGTTTTTCAACCACTCCACAAATTTCTGGTTAACAAACTATAGTTTTGGCAAGTCGGTTAGGACATCTACTTTGTGCATGACACAAGTCATTTTTCCAACAATTGTTTACAGACAGATTATTTCACTTATAATTCACTGTATCACAATTCCAGTGGGTCAGAAGTTTACATACACTAAGTTGACTGTGCCTTTAAACAGCTTGGAAAATTCCAGAAAATGATGTCATGGCTTTAGAAGCTTCTGATAGCCTAGTTGACATCATTTGAGTCAACTGGAGACCTCCACAAGTCTGGTTCATCCTTGGGAGCAATTTCCAAATGCCTGAAGGTACCACGTTCATCTGTACAAACAATAGTACGCAAGTATAAACACCATGGGACCATGCAGTCATCATACCGCTCAGGAAGGAGATGCGTTCTATTTCCTAGAGATAAACGTACTTTGGTGCGAAAAGTGCAAATCAATCCCAGAAACAGTGGGGAAAAAAAGTATTTAGTCAGCCACCAATTGTGCAAGTTCTCCCACTTAAAAAGATGAGAGAGGCCTGTAATTTTCATCATAAGTACACGTCAACTATGACAGACAAAATGAGATTTTTTTCTCTCCAGAAAATCACATTGTAGGATTTTTTATGAATTTATTTGCAAATTATGGTGGAAAATAAGTATTTGGTCAATAACAAAAGTTTCTCAATACTTTGTTATATACCCTTTGTTGGCAATGACACAGGTCAAACGTTTTCTGTAAGTCTTCACAAGGTTTTCACACACTGTTGCTGGTATTTTGGCCCATTCCTCCATGCAGATCTCCTCTAGAGCAGTGATGTTTTGGGGCTGTCGCTGGGTAACACGGACTTTCAACTCCCTCCAAAGATTTTCTATGGGGTTGAGATCTGGAGACTGGCTAGGTCACTCCAGGATCTTGAAATGCTTCTTACGAAGCCACTCCTTCGTTGCCCGGGCGGTGTGTTTGGGATCATTGTCATGCTGAAAGACCCAGCCACGTTTCATCTTCAATGCCCTTGCTGATGGAAGGAGGTTTTCACTCAAAATCTCACGATACATGGCCCCATTCATTCTTTCCTTTACACGGATCAGTCGTCCTGGTCCCTTTGCAGAAAAACAGCCCCAAAGCATGATGTTTCCACCCCCATGCTTCACAGTAGGTATGGTGTTCTTTGGATGCAACTCTGCATTCTTTGTCCTCCAAACACGACGAGTTGAGTTTTTACCAAAAAGTTATATTTTGGTTTCATCTGACCATATGACATTCTCCCAATCCTCTTCTGGATCATCCAAATGCACTCTAGCAAACTTCAGACGGGCCTGGACATGTACTGGCTTAAGCAGGGGGACACGTCTGGCACTGCAGGATTTGAGTCCCTGGCGGCGTAGTGTGTTACTGATGGTAGGCTTTGTTACTTTGGTCCCAGCTCTCTGCAGGTCATTCACTAGGTCCCCCCGTGTGGTTCTGGGATTTTTGCTCACCGTTCTTGTGATCATTTTGACCCCACGGGGTGAGATCTTGCGTGGAGCCCCAGATCGAGGGAGATTATCAGTGGTCTTGTATGTCTTCCATTTCCTAATAATTGCTCCCACAGTTGATTTCTTCAAACCAAGCTGCTTACCTATTGCAGATTCAGTCTTCCCAGCCTGGTGCAGGTCTACACTTTTGTTTCTGGTGTCCTTTGACAGCTCTTTGGTCTTGGCCATAGTGGAGTTTGGAGTGTGACTGTTTGAGGTTGTGGACAGGTGTCTTTTATACTGATAACAAGTTCAAACAGGTGCCATTAATACAGGTAACGAGTGGAGGACAGAGGAGCCTCTTAAAGAAGAAGTTACAGGTCTGTGAGAGCCAGAAATCTTGCTTGTTTGTAGGTGACCAAATACTTATTTTCCACCATAATTTGCAAATAAATTCATAAAAAATCCTACAATGTGATTTTCTGGAGAAACAAAATCTCAATTTGTCTGTCATAGTTGACGTGTACCTATGATGAAAATTACAGGCCTCTCTCATCTTTTTAAGTGGGAGAACTTGCACAATTGGTGGCTGACTAAATACTTTTTTTCCCCACTGTATTTGGCTAAGGTGTATGTAAACTTCTGACTTCAACTGTACATTATAATATATAATATATATATATATATATATATATATATATATACACATATATACATATACACACACATAGAATTAAAAAAAATATTATACCCATATACATTAGAATATATATATTATACACATATAAATTACATTAGAATATAATGTTCTGTATTTAAAGGGGCAATCTGGGATTCAAACAACGCAAAACCGCCACTTCTTTGGTAAACAGCTGAGGGATTGGGCTGGAGAAATGTAACCCCTCAAATTATCTGGTTCCAGGATCATTCCAGAGGAGCTCGTCCCTGAGCAGCAGAGCCAGCGGTCCGGGTCCCAGCCACAAGATAAAGGACAGAGACTACCTGGGCTGGATGGACTTCGGACGCCGCAGTGCAGAGGAGTACGAGGAATACTCCTCATAGAAACAGACGCAACACTACTAAATTCATCTCAATTATCACAATGTCATCATTGGAAAACAAAAAATCATTGTCCCCAAAAGCTATATTTATTATGACGTATTTGATGTAAATGTGTTTGTAAAACTGATATGAAGCAATATATATATACAGTACGTATACAGATTTTTGAAGAAAACAAACAAAAGTTTCATGCTTTTCTTACATGTACCCTACACAAAGACCGATGTCCTTTAAAAACAGAGAGAGATCTAATCAGACAGATTTTGTAGTAGAATAAACCAAGCCTGAATAATACACACACGTCCTTTTCCATAGTGTTTCCAAACACTATGGCCTTGGGTTCATTTTAGTCCTAAGTGCCATGCCGTTTAGTGCATTCAGTGGGCTCACGGCTTGCTCTATTTGTCACTTACAAATAATGTTAGATAACAGCTCATCTGACTCATATTTGCTCTCCTATTATGCTGGATCACAGTTGCCACACATTGTTTACAGCTCTAGTCATCACTGAGCCACAGAGATGCAGCAACATGCAGCAAGATCTTCCTCTTAATGCAGAAGGTACAGAGAGGTTAGACAGTGAGAGACTACAGTGGGTGTATTAGCAGCACTTAATGAAATTTAGGTCTGAAAGTTATACCTCCCTGAGCATATTGTCTTCTTATAGACCCACTGTACCTACAGCAGCCGAGCACATCACTCTGACAGCATTAAAGAGCAAGAGCATTTTTCTTAACGAGCCGTCCTCCAAAATCTACTTTTTCAGACACACGGCCTTAGGGGGTGATTGTAGCGGCAATAACAGAGGCAATATCACATCTCAGTCACTAAATAGAAAAACCAGAACACAGAGGAGACAAATAAAGCTTGGGTTTTTACATCAGACAACGCACGCAGCTTAACAAATATTGGATGGAGTACCACTTGGGTGTACTGGAGAGACAATGGCATGGCTTGGATTGCACTGTTGTGAGCATAAAGCTTGGCTAGAGCTGCACTAATGCTAGCACAGGTGTCCCTCAATGAGCTGATTTAATTATCTGAGACAGGTGTTTGTTGTGGGATGGGAGGCAGGAGGGGAGGAGAAGGGGAGGCGGAGGATGAGGGGAGGAGAGGATGAGGGGATGGGGGGAGGAGGAGAGAAGGAGGATGAGGGCGAAGGAGGGATGAGGGGAGTGACGGGAGGGAGATGAGGGGAGTCGAGGAGAGGATGGAGGGGGAGGGGGGATGAGAGATGTCTATGAGGAGGGAGGAGGAGGATGAGGGGAGAAGGAGGGGATGAGGTGAGATCTGGGGATGGGGAGAGGGGGGGAGGAGAGGGAGATAGGAGGCGGGGAGAGGGAGGAGGGGAGGAGGAGGATGAGGGTAGAAGGAGGGGATGAGGAGAGGAGGAGAGGATGAGGATGAGGTGGGAGTAGGGAGGGATCTGTTGCACAATAAAGCATTGCAATAAAATACAGAAAAACATGAAATGTCTGCTGCTGCTGGGGCAATGACATGTATTGTTGCCCATTTACAACAGACCGTGGCTGACTGCTGGGTCCACATTAGGCTCAATGAGATGTTAGAAGGTTGAGCTGGTGATGGGGTGAGACCCCACAGGGAGACAGTGATTTGACAGATCTAGAGAGAGATGGCAGGTACGGGGGATTTAGGCTACTAAAGATTATGTAGGACCATTAAACATTTTTGAAAACTTGTGTAGAGCCCAAAAAGGATGAATAATTTCAGTAGGTATGTCAATCAAAAATGTTTTGGCATCAACATTGTCTTTTGAAAACTATGATAAATGTACAGTAACAGTCAAAAGATTGGACACACCTACTCATTCAATGGTTTTTCTTTATTTTTTACTATTTTCTACATTGTAGAATAATAGTGAAGACATCAAAACTACGAAATAACACATATGGAATCATGTAGTAACCAAAAAAGTGTTAAACAAATCAAAATATATTTTATATTTGAGATTCTTCAAATAGCCACACTTTGCCTTGATGACAGCTTTGCACACTCTTGGCATTCTCTCAACCAGCTTCACCTGGAATTCTTTTCAAACAGTCTTAAAGGAGTTCCCACATATGCTGAGCACTTGTTGGCTGCTTTTCCTTCACTCTGCCGTCCGACTCATCCCAAAACATCTCAATTGGATTGAGGTCAGGGGATTGTGGAGGCCAGGTCATCTGACCAATTTGTAAGTCGCTCTGGATAAGAGCGTCTGCTAAATGACTTAAATGTAAATGTAAATGATGCAGCACTCCATCACTCTCCTTCTTGGTAAAATAGCCCTTACATAGCCTGGAGGTGTGTTGGGTCATTGTCCTGTTGAAAAACAAATGATAGTTCCACTAAGCTCACACCAGATGGGATGGTGTATCGCTGCAGAATGCTGTGGTAGCTATGCTGGTTAAGTGTGCCTTGAATTCTAAATAAATCACATACAATGTCACGAGCAAAGCACCCCCACACCATAACACCTCCTCCTCCATGCTTTACAGTGGGAAATACACATGCAGAGATTATCCGTTCACCCACACCACGTCTCACAAAGACACTGCGGATGGAACCAAAAATCTCCAATTTGGACTCCAGACCAAAGGACAAATTTCCACCGGTCTAATGTCCATTGCTCATGTTTCTTGGCCCAAGCAGGTCTCTTCTTCTTATTGGTGTCCTTTAGTAGTGGTTTCTTTGCAGCAAATCAACCATGAAGGCCTGATTCACAGTCCCCTCTGAACAGTTGATGTTGAGATGTGTCTGTTACTTGAACTCTCTGAAGCATTTATTTGGGCTGCAATTTCTGAGACTGGTAACTCTATTGAACTTATCCTCTGCAGCAGAGGTAACTCTGGGTCTTCCATTCTTGTGGCGGTCCTCATGAGAGCCAGTTTCATCATAGCGCTTGATGTTTTTTGCGAATGCACTTGAACAAACTTTAAAAGTTCTTGAAATGTTCCGTATTGACTGACCTTCATGTCTTTAAGTAATGATGGACTGTCGTTTCTCTTTGCTTATTTGAGCTGTTCTTGCCATAATATGGACTTGGTCTTTTACCAAATAGGGCTATATTCTGTATACCCCCCCCTACCTTGTCACAACACAACGAATTGGCTCAAATGCATTAAGAAGGAAATAAATTCCACAAATTAACTTTTAAGAAGGCACACCTGTTATTTGAAATGCATTCTAGGTGACTACCTCATGAAGCTGGTTGAGAGAGTGCCAAGAGTGTGCAAAGCTGTCATCAAGACAAAGGGTGGCTACTTTGAAGAATCTCAAATATAAATATATTTTGATGTGTTTAACACATTTTTGGTTACTACATGATTCCATATGTGTTATTTCATAGTTTTGATGTCTTCACTATTATTCTACAATGTAGAAGAGTAGGTGTGTCCAAACTTTTGACTGGTACTGTAAGTCAAAGGTCAATTTGATCATCAGTCGGTTTGTAAGACACCAAAAATATAACAAAGAAAATGTGAACAGGTTGAACAGAATGACAGCTCCAGCATATTTAATTGAACGACCTTATAATAATGCAAATTTACATAAATAATTAATTAATTTGGGGGGGTGCTTGTATTTGTCCTTTTACACACAAGTGGGTAATGGAGATGTTTTTTTTGTTGCATATCCCAACTCCCCCTAAGACACCTGCAGGGAGTGGGATCCTGGCCAGGGTTGCCATTGTACAGCGCCCCTAGAGCAATTAGGGGTAAGTGCCTTGTTGAAGGGCACAGCGGCAGATAATTTCTCTCACCTTGTCGGCTCCGGTATTCGAACCAACAACATTTCGGTTACTGGCCCAACGCTTTAACCTCGAGGCTACCAGTTACGTTCTCTCATTTATGAATATCAAGTGGATTGTTTTTCCCCGTGGTGTGATCATGCCATATGTGCCCACTCATTACGAACAAAAGAGAGGACTTCCTTGAACATGGAGAAAAGGGCACTGAAAGAGCACTTAGGGGAACATTGCCAGCTGAATGAGTAGTGGGTTTATTTCTGCTGCTCGTCTGCCGTAATAGACCCTCAACACAATGCACTTTGTTCCAACAATGCTGAAATGCTCAAATAGTCATCTAATTGCATTAAACGGAGACCAAGATCTTTCACATGTGAACACGTGCTGTAGCTAGGTCCATATTGTCCTCATATGGCTGTGTGGGCACCAGTATGGTGAAACAGCATGTACGCTACTGTTGTCAAGTACATTTCTTAAAAAACGGTTCATTATCCTGACTTTTAATGATTAGTGCTCCAAGCATTATGTGTCATTACTTTGTCTTTAGTGAACTCCAACCAACAATAAATAGATGGATAAATAAAAGACATGAAGGCAAGCAGGTCATATCAATTGTTTTATTGATACGCCTTTTCTGCAAATAGGTGCTCTTGAAAATCCGGAACACAAAAACCCAGCTTGTTTTTAGACCAGTGTTCTGACCACTTCATTGCCTGAACAACATTTTTGTCCCTTATATATATATATATTCTAGTTTATTAAAAAATAGTTAACATGGCTAAATTCATTGCATACATACCATTTACAATGTACACGTACTATAATAATAGTTCCCTTTGTGGTTGAAATGCAGTAAAACCCATCATTTAAATCAACATAGACATATGGACATAATATTTTCTGCTGTTAATCAATACATTCAAAGGATATTCAGGTTACACACAATGTCAGCGCGGACAAATCTCTACTTTTGTCAGAAGTAAATGATAAATAACAGGTGTGTCTTCTTCATTTCAACACATACACTGCAGCTCTCTCAAAATACAGATATCCAAGATCTAACGATATCTCATCTTCTCTGCAGTTCAAGTTAAAACCCCTACGAGGAGGATATCCTCAAAACACATTTGTAGTTAAACTGCTCATAGCAGGGTGGAATCTATTAGAGGAAGGCAGACCACACAATGGACAGACAGGTCAGTCAGTCAAACAACAATGAAACTATGTAAAGGATGAGGCACTAGGACGTATCCCTCCGTCTCTGCGTTTCACAACTTCATTTACAGTACAGTGGCTTTAGTTTAAAGCTAACAGTTCAGTCACCAAAGCTTTTTATCACAGAGAAAAACAATTGAAACTTGTATAATTATGGCGTCCCTCCCAGAGAACTCTCGTACACTGGTTTTGTATTGGGAGACAGCAGTTAGTGGGCTCTGGTTGAAATGTCCTGTATATCTGATTATCACTTTAACCAAATGACTCAAGTCTTTCTTAGACTATCTAGGCCTATAGGTCAATCTTTCAACAACTTTATACACACAAGTTCACATACTCACACTGCACACAAATGTCTAGAAATAATGTTGGTCTGTTACAATAAAGTGATTTTGTTTTCAAGTTCAAACCATAGCCTATTCATTCACGGCAAACATCCATGCATTCCTCTTAGCTTCAAGTGTGGCTCCTTCCCAGTCTTTATTTGGATAAAACGTTGAGGTGAATAACATGATGTGTTGTTGCCCAGTATTGTGCTAGCTAGTAGTTTGCATACCGTACCTCCAACATTTCATTTCCTCAATAAAGGTTTTAGTTATGTGCATATTGTCATGGATGCCACTGAAAACCCTTAAATACCACTTAAGGTGCGTTCGTTGGTACTGTTTGCCACTCATTGGCTAATTAACAGGAAGATAATGTTTTTTTGTCTACATGTATACATTTAGACCTGGGAATAAAAAAAATAGATTTTTTAAATGAGTTTACCTGGGCTTGGAACCGCTCCTTTTTCTAAACAGATAACAGGTGCTACAGTACATGTTCTTCAGCCTACCGATCTGCCTGGCCAATCAGAAACAGAAAGAATAATACATCATGGTACTATTTACTGAGAGTTGTAAGGAGAGAGACAAAGAGAGAGAAAGAGAAGCAGAAGAGAGAGAGAAAGAAAAAGAGAGAGATAACGGAAGACAAAATAATTATCATTGATACAAAATGCACTGTACAAAGAAAGGGCATCTCTTTCAGGCACAGAGTTGATTTGTCACGGAAACGGGGGCCTCATACAGCAGCTATATATACATTCAACTCAAGGAAACCTTCATTCACTCATCATTGAGACTAGTCTGTCTGGGGAGCTTGGAGGAAGAAGCAAGGAGCATGTCTGTGGGGCTGTGGGGCCCCGGGCCCTTCATTGCCATGCCGGCCCCTACCATGGCTGGGTAGCTGCGGTTGCGGCGGATGCCTGCGTTCAGAGCGGGGCCGAGGCCCCCTATTGGACTGGCCACCACAGAGGGGCCGAAGTGGGAAGGGCAGTGGAGGCCGCTGAGGGGCCCCAGCATGGTGGGCCCCGTGGCCCCTGATAAAGAGGGGCTGGCCCCAGCCACGCTGAAGCGCTTCAGCTTGTCCACCAGCTTCAGGTTGTGGACGCTGACGTCAATCTGACACTCGCTGTCCGCTGACTCACTGCTCTGGGCCTCCGCCCTCACCTCCTTCAGGATGGAGCTGGCCGGCTTCGACGCCAGGAAGTTGTCATAGGGCAGGGCACTGGGGCTGAGGTCGAAGGGGCCGCTGGGTTTGGAGCGGAGGGAGTGGTGGGTTGGGGAGTTGGGCGGCGTGGAGGGTAGAGTGTCGGGGGGCCGAGGCGGTAGGAGCAACGGTGCCCCCCCAGTGGGGATGGAGGTGCTACAGTCTGCCCGGTCCCAGCTCTGAGGGTTGTAGACTGCTGCAGAGATGCCTCGCTCCTGGAGGAGCCGCACAAGACCTCCACTAGTGCTCATGGTCTTGGTGGAGTCTCTCAGGTTGGTGAAGGACTCGGCCGCCAGGCTGAGGCGGCGCGGGGTGCAGGGGGTGGAGCAGGGGGTGGATCTGACGCTGCTGCTGCTGGTCACGACGCAGGAGGCAGTAGGGCCCGACATAAGGCTGAAAGAGGGAGATGGAGAAGCACACACAGACAGTCACACACACATACTGCTATACAGTCAGCTATACAGTCAGCTATACAGTTAGCTATACTGCTATACAGTTAGCCTCACAGTCAGCTATACTTCTATACAGTCAGCTATCTTGCTATACAGTCAGCTATACTGCTATACAGTAAGCTATACAGTCATCTATACAGCCAGCTATACTGCTACACAGTCAACTATACTGCTCTACAGTCAGCTATAAAGTCAGCTATACAGTCAGCTATACTGCTATACAGTCAGCAACACAGTCAGCTATACTTCTATACAGTCAGCTATACTGCTATACTGTGAGCTATACAGTCATCTATTCAGTCAGCTATACAGTCAGCTATACTGCTATACAGTCAGATATACAGTCAGCCTATACTGCTATACAGTCAGCCATACAGTCAGCTATACTGCAACACAGTCAGCTATACAGTCAGATATACAGTCAGCTATGCTGCTCCAGTCAGCTATACTGCTACGCAGTCAGCTATACAGTCAGCTATACAGTCAGCTATACAGCTACACAGTCAGATATACAGTCAGCTATACTGCTATATGGTCATCTATACAGTCAGATATAAGGTCAGCTATACTGCTATACAGTCAGCTATACTGTTATACAGTCAGATATACAGTCAGCTATACTGCTATACAGTCAGCTATACAGTCAGCTATACTGCTATATGGTCATCTATACAGTCAGATATAAGGTCAGCTATACTGCTATACAGTCAGATATACTGTTATACAGTCAGATATACAGTCAGCTATACTGCTATACAGTCAGCTATACAGTCAGCTATACAGTCAGCTACACTGCTATACAGTCAGTTATACTGCTATACAGTCAGCTATACAGTTATACAGTCAGCTATACAGTCAGCTATACAGTCAGTTATACAGTCAGCTATACTGCTATACAGTTAACTATACAGTCAGCCATACTGCTATACAGTCAGCCATAAAGTCTGCCATACAGCAATACAGTCAGCTATACTGTCAGCTATACAATCAACTATACAGCTATACATTCAGCTACACTGCTATACAGTCAGCTATGCAACTATACAGTCAGCTGTACTGCTATACAGTCAGATATTACAGTCAGCTATACAGTCAGCTACAGTGGGGAAAAAAAGTATTTAGTCAGCCACCAATTGTGCAAGTTCTCCCACTTAAAAAGATGAGAGAGGCCTGTAATTTTCATCATAGGTACACGTCAACTATGACAGACAAATTGAGAAAAAAATTTCCAGAAAATCCCATTGTAGGATTTTTAATGAATTTATTTGCAAATTATGGTGGAAAATAAGTATTTGGTCACCTACAAACAAGCAAGATTTCTGGCTCTCACAGACCTGTAACTTCTTCTTTAAGAGGCTCCTCTGTCCTCCACTCGTTACCTGTATTAATGGCACCTGTTTGAACTTGTTATCAGTATAAAAGACACCTGTCCACAACCTCAAACAGTCACACTCCAAACTCCACAATGGCCAAGACCAAAGAGCTGTCAAAGGACACCAGAAACAAAATTGTAGACCTGCACCAGGCTGGGAAGACTGAATCTGCAATAGGTAAGCAGCTTGGTTTGAAGAAATCAACTGTGGGAGCAATTATTAGGAAATGGAAGACATACAAGACCACTGATAATCTCCCTCGATCTGGGGCTCCACGCAAGATCTCACCCCGTGGGGTCAAAATGATCACAAGAACGGTGAGCAAAAATCCCAGAACCACACGGGGGGACCTAGTGAATGACCTGCAGAGAGCTGGGACCAAAGTAACAAAGCCTACCATCAGTAACACACTACGCCGCCAGGGACTCAAATCCTGCAGTGCGAGACGTGTCCCCCTGCTTAAGCCAGTACATGTCCAGGCCCGTCTGAAGTGCATTTGGATGATCCAGAAGAGGATTGGGAGAATGTCATATGGTCAGATGAAACCAAAATAGAACTTTTTGGTAAAAACTCAACTCGTCATGTTTGGAGGACAAAGAATGCTGAGTTGCATCCAAAGAACACCATACCTACTGTGAAGCATGGGGTTGGAAACATCATGCTTTGGGGCTGTTTTTCTGCAAAGGGACCAGGACGACTGATCCGTGTAAAGGAAAGAATGAATGGGGCCATGTATCGTGAGATTTTGAGTGAAACCCTCCTTCCATCAGCAAGGGCATTGAAGATGAAACGTGGCTGGGTCTTTCAGCATGACAATGATCCCAAACACACCGCCCGGGCAACGAAGGAGTGGCTTCGTAAGAAGCATTTCAAGGTCCTGGAGTGGCCTAGCCAGTCTCCAGATCTCAACCCCATAGAAAATCTTTGGAGGGAGTTGAAAGTCTGTGTTGCCCAGTGACAGCCCCAAAACATCCCTGCTCTAGAGGAGATCTGCATGGAGGAATGGGCCAAAATACCAGCAACAGTGTGTGAAAACCTTGTGAAGACTTACAGAAAACGTTTGACCTGTGTCATTGCCAACAAAGGGTATATAACAAAGTATTGAGAAACTTTTGTTATTGACCAAATACTTATTTTCCACCATCATATGCCAATAAATTCATAAAAAATCCTACAATGTGATTTTCTGGATTTTTTTTTCTCATTTTGTCTGTCATAGTTGACGTGTACCTATGATGAAAATTACAGGCCTCTCTCATCTTATTAAGTGGGAGAACTTGCACAATTGGTGGCTGACTAAATACTTTTTTTCCCCACTGTATACTCCTCAGCTATGACAGACACAGCCAGTCAAGCTATACTGATGATTCAAGCTTTAATATTACTTGCTATTGATAACATCCACATGACAATATTTTATAAGAGTCAACACAGATGGAGTTAAAAGACCCCTCATTAGCTCCTTCTAGAGCCTTGACCACACAATAGCTATACAATAGGTTGATTTTAGTATGATCATTACTGATCATCAATGTTAGTTTCATTTTTTAGTACACACACTGATGCAGACTAGTACAATAGAGAGGGACTTCCTGCTACAATGTACATGAACTAATCAATCACTGTCTATATCAATATCAGATCAAATACAAAATCTAATTTTATAATATTAATATCGAAATCTCACTGACCATTTAATTAATAAACAGACAAATCAATGAGACACTGACAAGGTTTTCTGAATGTTAACCCAAACACATGCAATTTCAACCCCAGATACCATTTCCTGGAAAACCACCAAAGGAAATTTGCTAATCAATTAGTATCAGAGACGCAGTGCTAACACACGTATACAAACCAGTGTCATGAACACTGTTCCAAACAAAGTTAAGTAAGCAATGAACACCCACAAGCTTAGCATCAATCATCAGACCACAATCAAGTTGTATTGTATGAATCAATGCCAGGGTCAGGACCAATCATTATATTATGCAAGACATTTTGATCTGATTGTCATTGATTAGAGAGTCTCAGCCCTTTGGTGAGGAGCGGTTCTAGATGTGTTTGACTGACAGTTGACAGGAGGGGGTTAGAGGGCTTAGAGATTGAAGGAAGCGGGATAGTTAGGAGACAGCGAGGCAGGAACACCCCCAAACTACTGAGTCAGACCCTGGACCCCCTACAACGAGGCCATGCTCCTAGTCATGTGACAGGTCTCACCCACGGGGCGGGAGGGGGCGTGGCTCAGTCAGCCCTAAGTCAGCCCTCAGAACAACATGATAGAGCGGCTTCCTCTTCCTCATCACATGACCTGGAGGGGAGGGGGGCAAGTCAACACAATTCAATCAACTTTAGTTATCCAAGAGGGGCAATAATAGCTGTCAGACAGCGGGTATGTGCTGAACACAGTATGGCTCAGCCAGGGCAAAGGAAAACGTACTTGTGAATGAAATCATGACTAACTTACTTTTTACATCAATATTAATTCATTTTTTAAATCGGAGTCAGTATTTCCTTCAGCAATATGGGCTGATTATTATCCTCTCTGTATTATCACCCTCAGCCCAACGCTGAAAGCCAAGGTTTCCATTGTCTGCAGTGATAGTGGTTCAGACAGACACTGCCACCTAGTGGCTACAGGGGTGCACTACAGTGTCAGGATGCATCCCAAATGGTACCCTATTCCCTATATACACTGTAGTGCACTTCTTTTGACCAGGGCCCATAGTGGATAGGGAAGCCATTTGGGACTCCACCAGTGTGGGGTAGAAGGGTTGTCTAACCTGGGGGTGACTCTGGTCAGCTCGTCTGATGGGTGCATGATCCGACAGGTGGTGAAGGTATAGGTGGAGCTGGTGTTGGACATACATTTACCAGGGTAGTGGGCTGTAGACAGGGAGAGAAGGGGAGAGAGGGAGAGAAGGGGAGAGAGGGAGAGAAGGGGAGAGAGGGAGAGAAGGGGAGAGAGGGAGAGAAGGGGAGAGAGGGAGAGAAGGAGAGAGTGGAGGGAGGGAGGGTTATTACTGGGAACAGAGGTACACATTTTTTTTAAACATAAAACTTCAAATCCAACACTCAAAGACACAGAGTGGATGGTTTAAAGCTGCTTCAATTGCAAAGATGAAACCGCTGTATTTTAGCCTGAAGATGCCGTTTTAAACCACTGAAAACATTTGATAGGCAGATAAAGGAATGACATATGACAGTTAATGAACAATGATTTCAGCAGATTCCTAACATCCCAGGCATGAATTAGTGTTCCACTCTACCATAGGGATTCTCCATAGGGAACACAATGCAGGGTTAAACTAAAAACACTGCAGATAAGTGGTGTGTTGACTGTTTGGAGCTGTGTGTGGACTCTGCAGTGTTGACTCAGAAGTGGTGTGTTGACTGGTTGTTTGGAGCTTTGTGTTGACTCTGCAGTGTTGACTGTTTGGAGATGTGTGGTGTGTGGACAGTGATGACTGTTTGGAGCTGTATGTGGACTCTGCAGTGTTGACTGTTTGGAGCTGTATGTGGACTCTGCAGTGTTGACTGTTTGGAGCTGTATGTGGACTCTGCAGTGTTGACTGTTTGGAGCTGTATGTGGACTCTGCAGTGTTGACTGTTTGGAGCTGTATGTGGACTCTGCAGTGATGACTGTTTGGAGCTGTGTGTGGACTCTGCAGCTCAATGTCAAAGGCAGGAGCTGAGGTGACATTCACACCACTTCACCCCATAATGATTCCTAGGAAACAGGGTCATGGACAGAACATTTGTCCCAAATGGCACCCTATTTGCTACGTAGTATACTACTTTTGACCAGAGCACTATGGGCCAAGGTCAAAAGTAGTGCACTATATAGGGAATAGGGTGCCATTTGGGACGCAGTCCCAGAGCCCCTATCTTTGACGGCAGTAGTGTCATGTGAGTTTCTGGGCAGCTGTGAGCATGGTGTTGTTAATAGATCACGGTCATCTGATACCACCACACCCAAACCACAGTGACCTGGACACTGGCCATAGGTTGTACATACTCAATCTGGAGTGTGTGACATTCGTATATGTAGGTTTATACTACGTCACTACATTACTATGTAGGTTTACACTAACACAGGACATCTCTAATAATTGGCTTTTTGAGTGAACTTCATGCCTTTGAGATTAAGAATGCTGTGATGGAAGATATTAACAAAATCACGACTTTCTCAGGAGTGACAATGATGATGATTTGACACCAGATTGGACACAAATTACTTGAGTGGCCGGAAGGGGTGATCAGAACTGGATTATTTAAATTAATCTGAATTCGTAAGGAAGGAAGGATCTTGAGATTTTAGGAAAAGTGTGAATGTGTGAGGTGGAGATTAAAGATGACACTGAAATAAATACAACTCAATATACTCAAAAGGGGCATGACAGTAGGACACCTCAGGATGAGGTGGGTGTGTCTGGACACGTCTGGATGAGGTGGGTGTGTCTGGACACGTCTGGATGAGGTGGGTGTGCCTGGAGATGTGTGCATGAGCGTGGAGGGATCGGGGACCGACGGACAGGCAGGGAGGGGATGGCAATGGCCAATGAATGCCCCAACATCCTGTGGTAGAAGGGTGGGTTAGGGACGTCTGGTGCCTGTGTGACCCATTTAGAAGGCTCCCTCACCGGACAACCCATCAGCGGCTGCAGCCTGATCCTGGTTCTCCTGGTTCTCGCTGTCTGTAGGTGCGGGCGACAACAGTGGTGTGCTGCCTGGGCCCAATGTCTCGCCCTCTTCCCTGGCTTCTCCATCACCTCCAACCCCACCCTCTGGAAGGCTGTTGTTGATGGCTCTGCCGCTGCAGGTGGAGGAGCAGGAGGAGGAGCGGGTACGGAGGCCCTGCCGGCTGAGGATGGCGATGCCACTACAGCCTGAGGTAGAGAGGCTGTGGACAGACAGGTCGTCTGACTCCTCCACTACCTCAAAGTCCTCCTCCTCAAAGTCAGTGAACTGGTAGATGTGCTCCAGGTCTAGTTCCAGAGGACGGAAGCCCTTGGTGACCACACCAGGCCGCGTGTCCAGGATCCCACCCAGGTTGGGCTGGGCCAGCTGCTGCCACTGGTGCAGGGTGGCTGAGCCTGGGAGGGAGGGAGGGAAAATATCAAACGTTAAACACACATCTGCATTTGTTTTTGCTGCATTTCTATATAGGCTTCTATGTTAAATGGGTTTCTATGGTAATGGGTTTCTATGGTAATGCATCATAATATAGGTTTCTATGTTAAATGGGTTTCTATGGTAATGCGTCATAATATAGGCTTCTATGGTAATGGGTTTCTATGGTAATGCATCATAATATAGGCTTATATGGTAATGCATCATAATATAGGCTTCTATGTTAAATGGGTTTCTATGGTAATGCATCATAATATAGGCTTATATGTTAAATGGGTTTCTATGGTAATGCATCATAATATAGGCTTCTATGTTAAATGGGTTTCTATGGTAATGCATCATAATATAGGTTTCTATGTTAAATGGGTTTCTATGGTAATGCATCATAATATAGGCTTCTATGTTAAATGGGTTTCTATGGTAATGCGTCATAATATAGGCTTCTATGTTAAATGGGTTTCTATGGTAATGCATCATAATATAGGCTTATATGGTAATGCATCATAATATAGTCTTCTATGTTAAATGGGTTTCTATGGTAATGCATCATAATATAGGCTTCTATGTTAAATGGGTTTCTATGATAATGCATCATAATATAGGCTTCTATGTTAAATGGGTTTCTATGCTAATGCATCATAATATAGTATTCTATGTTAAATGGGTTTCTATGGTAATGCATCATAATATAGGCTTCTATGTTAAATGGGTTTCTATGGTAATGCGTCATAATATAGGTTTCTATGTTAAATGGGTTTCTATGGTAATGCATCATAATATAGGCTTCTATGTTAAATGGGTTTCTATGGTAATGCATCATAATATAGGCTTCTATGTTAAATGGGTTTCTATGATAATAGCATCATAATATAGGCTTCTATGTTAAATGGGTTTCTATGCTAATGCATCATAATATAGTCTTCTATGTTAAATGGGTTTCTATGGTAATGCGTCATAATATAGGCTTCTATGTTAAATGGGTTTCTATGGTAATGCGTATAATATATCAGCTGCTATCATACATCATAAGATGGCTGGAGAAACGTAACAGAAATGGCCTTCCCTCTCTAGACCACTGATATAAATCTGGATGTGAACAGATACGGTAGAACATGAAGGGTGTTTAAGGGCATCTAAATATAGCCCCTTTACATTGCTCTCTACACATCCACATGCATACTCTATGAATCCAGGGAGGTCAGGGGTATCCATGTCCAACAACATGACTCTACTTTAGTAGTAGCGTTCCCTCCTTTCTAACAGACAGAGCTGCCTTTGTATGGCAGTTCATCCTGTAGGTCGTAAACCAAGTGACATCACCATTCAACTATTCCACATTGGGTTGAATTGAGCTAAATCTCAATGGGAAAGCCTGAGAAGAACAGTTAAGGGAAAGGCAGTGTAACTACACAGTAGGTCTGGTCTATGTGTGGAGAGGGGTGACGATTTGGACTTCAACATGCATTGATGGGAGTTGTGGAAGAGGTTGCCTTCACCCAGCTTTCACCCAATTCTAGGGTGTTTACACCAAGTTATATTATCTCACTTGCAAGTAAGATATCAGTGTGTATCGCCACTTCTAGCAGTGGTTTCTGAAATGTACCTTTATTTCAAGTCAAATCTGTGGTTCTCCCTGTCCCTTATCAATCAGATAGAGGAGTAAAGTCTTTCAAAAGGTTAGGTACAGGCAAATATGAACATAAAGAGAGAAAATTAGTAGATTTAATTGGAAGAGCTAATAATGTAATAAGATGCACTGTACCTACCGTCTCAAGTCCAAACAGACTGATAATGCCATGCAAATGACTGACTGGCGTCAAAATAAAATTGGTCGATTTTATTGGAAGAGCTACAGTTGAAGTCGGAAGTTTACATACGCTTAGGTTAGAGTCATTAAAACTCGTTTTTCAACCACTCCACAAATGTCTTGTTAACAAACTATAGTTTTGGCAAGTCAGTTAGGACATCTACTTTGTGCATGACACAAGTAATTTTTCCAACAATTGTCTACAGACAGATTATTTCACTGTATCACAATTCCAGTGGTTCAGAAGTTTACATACACTAAGTTGACTGTGCATTTAAACAGCTTGGAAAATTCCAGAAAATGATGTCATGGCTTTAGAAGCTTCTGATAGGCTAATTGACATCATTTGAGTCAATTGGAGGTGTACCTGTGGATGTATTTCAAGGCCTATCTTCAAACTCAGTGCCTCTTTGCTTGACATCATGGGAAAATCAACAGAAATCAGCCAAGACCTCAGAAGAAAAAAAAATTGTAGACCTCCACAAGTCTGGTTCATCCTTGGGAGCAATTTCCAAACGCCTGAAGGTACCACGTTCATCTGTACAAACAATAGTACGCAAGTATAAACACCATGGGACCACGCAGTCGTCATACCGTTCAGGAAGGAGACATGTTCTGTCTCCTAGAGATTAACATACTTTGGTGCGAAAAGTGCAAATAAATCCCAGAACAACAGCAAAGGACCTTGTGAAGATGCTGGAGGAAACAGATACAAAAGTATCTATATCCACAGTAAAACGAGTCCTATATCAACATAACCTGAAAGGCCGCTCAGCAAGGAAGAAGCCACTGCTCCAAAACGGTCATAAAAAAGCCAGACTACGGTTTGCAACTGCACATGGGGACAACGATCGTACTTTTTGGAGAAATGTCCTCTGGTCTGATGAAACAAAAATAGAACTGTTTGGCCATAATGACCATCGTTATGTTTGGAGGAAAAAGGGGGTACTTGCAAGCCGAAGAACCCCATCCCAACCGTGAGGCACGGGGGTGGCAGCATCATGCTGTGGGGGTGCTTTGCTGCAGGAGGGACTGGTGCACTTCACAAAAAAGATGGCATCATGAGGAAGGAAAATTATGTGGATATATTGAAGCAACATCTCAAGACATCAGTCAGGAAGTTAAAGCTTGGTCGCAAATTAGTCTTCCAAATGGACAATGACCCCAAGCATACTTCCAAAGTTGTGGCAAAATGGCTTAAGGACAACAAAGTCAAGGTATTGGAGTGGCCATCACAAAGCCCTGACCTCAATCCTATAGAAAATGTATGGGCACAACTTAAAAAACGTGTGCGAGCAAGGAGGCCTACAAACCTGACTCAGTTACACCAGCTCTATCAGGACAAATGGGCCAAAATTCACCCAACCTATTGTGGGAAGCTTGTGGAAGGCTACCCGAAACGTTTGAGCCAAGTTAAACAATTTAAAGGCAATGCTACTACTATTATTCTGACATTTCACATTCTTAAAATAAAGTGGTGATCCTAACTGACCTAAGACAGGGAATTTTTACTAGGATTAAATGTCAGGAATTGTGAAAAACTGAGTTGAAATGTATTTGGCTAAGGTGTACGTAAACTTCCGACTTCAACTGTATATAAAACAAGCTGATAGAAGGTCAACAGAAACTGAAATTAATGAACACAGAATAGACAAGACACCAACTGAAAGAGACATGCGTAAGAAAGAAAAGGGTTGAAATTAGATGCACTGTACCTAACGTCTCAAGTCCAAACAGATTGATAATGTAATAAGATGCACTGTACCTAACGTCTCAAGTCCAAACAGATTGATAATGTAATAAGATGCACTGTACCTAACGTCTCAAGTCCAGATTGATAATGTAATAAGATGCACTGTACCTAACGTCTCAATTCCAAACAGACTGATAATGCCATGCAAATGACTGACTGGCGTCAAAAGATGCATAAAACATGTAGCAAAAAGAAGCAATAATTAGATTTGAACTAAATCTTAGTGTATATTATTATAGTGTAATGATAATGTAATAACAGTGTAATAATGTAATGAACAGGCAAGGTAAAGTGTTGATTCATTGTGCATGTTAATGGTGTTGTCACCAGGTGGCACTAGAGACCCAGATTAGATACTGTACTACTGTATAACCTGACCGTGGCCACGTCCCAAATGCCACCCTACATCCCTATATGGTGCACTACTTTTGACCAGGGCCCCTTGATCTCTGGTGATATTTCAATCAACCATTAAATCTGACTAAAACATGTCAAAAACAACATTAGGAAAATAAATATATTTAGTATTTTAGCATAGGAAAATACTCTATGTAAGAAACATTTTGGTTAAACGTGTGCTTCATACCTGTAATATAACTGCGTCTATCAATTCAAACTAACACAGTTTCCAACTTGTATTTCAAACAGTTTCTTTCAGGTTCTTTCAGGAGATAACACAAATATGCAGCGAATCTCTTTTTAACTGCTTTTTGCGGATGCCTGATATGTTTGGAGATCATTTCACATGGACATTAGAGTAATGTGATCCCTCCTTGATAAAACATAGGATGAGTAGCACAGGGCCTCAATGTTGTTGTGGAAAAGACCAGCGACAGGTCTGGATTTGCTTTGCATGATGATAACATTGTAGGCTAAATTAATGTGTCAGGCAGGGCTAGTGGCAGTGGGCTGTTCTGACTCTAAGTCTGACTCTAAGGGCTCAGGCACACCAATACAGTTTGCTGGAACATGGCTCCTCTGAACGTAATTTGCGAACCGAGTGCGTACCGATTTTACATGTAGAATCACTTAAAGATTTTAGTCAGACGTCTACAGCGGGTGGTCCCTAAAACACAGCACGCTGAACGACCGGCATACGAAAGCTAGATCCACATTAGGTACGATGTATGTGAGCCTCAACTCTAACTGTAGATCTGGAACCAGCAGCAGGGCTGGGTGTGTCTGAAGTAGGAGGAGTACTGAGAGGCTGCACTCATCATGGTGCATTAGCTCCCACAGCGTGTCAACCAGCAGCAGGGTGAGAGGTCGCGGGGGGTGGTGGGGGGAGTCACCTTCCAGTGGCTTGACGATCTGCAGCTTCTCCGGCAGGTAGGAGCGGGAGCAGAAGGAGTACCCAGACCAGACGGAAGAGGGGTGTGTTCCTCCCAGGGACATGATGCTCTCTGTGGGGGTCATACTGCCGCTGTACACCTCTCCCTTCTCCACCAGCCCCTGGAGCTTCCGATCCCTCTCCTCCTCGAAGAAGCGGCGCTCGCTCAGGCAGTTGTCCCGCCGCAGGGAGAGACGTCGGAGGGCTGCTTCCAGATCCTGAGAGCCCGGCGTTCCAGGGGTCCCTGGTTTCTTGTTGGAGTCATCCACACTGGTGGAGGGGGGGGGGGGGGGGGGGGGTACATAGTATTTATTTATTAAATCTAGTCCTATTCAATGCTACAAGTCTAACAAAAGGTCCTATAACTGGTCTGCTGTATGACAGGCTCTGGTCCTTTACATAACAAAGTGCATAGCAACAAGACATGCTGATGACATCAACAAAACAAAAAAACGAGTCAACCGTTGTTATATGCGGTTGGCATTCCTAATAACCAATGGTCACTTGACATCAACACAAGAAGTTTTCACTTTCCAAGCATTTTTTATGAAGTGCCACAACATAATCAGTTCAACTGCAGTTACATGAGAAAGTACTGTTTGGCTTTATTGTACTGTGGTTGCTTTTGGGAACTAGTAAAGGCACACTTCCTCCTCTCCCTCTTGGTTTACCTAGCAAAGCCATGGACATTGCTGGCAGTGTTGTTGTATAGCCTGCAAAGTGCTTAGTAACCCTAACCCTGATCTATTCAAATTCCAACGATAGCAGACATGCATTCAGGAAACCATGTGCGCCATCTTGGTTTACACTGTTTATGCTCTGATAGACTTTACTGGACAACTACATGGATGGGACGACCTCTGAGCTGTTGTTACAGCCAGAACCTTACTAGATCAAGAAGAGAGAGAATGCGGGATAGAGAGAAATAAAGAGAAAGAGACAGGAAGAGGAGAGAGAGAAGTACAGAGGGCAGGGAGAGAGACAGACAGGTAGGGAGAGAGAGAAGTACAGAGGGCAGGGAGAGAGAGACAGACAGGTAGGGAGAGAGAGAAGTACAGAGGGCAGGGAGAGAGAGACAGACAGGTAGGGAGAGAGAGAAGTACAGAGGGCAGGGAGAGAGAGACAGACAGGTAGGGAGAGAGAGAAGTACAGAGGGCAGGGAGAGAGAGACAGACAGGTAGGGAGAGAGAGAAGTACAGAGGGCAGGGAGAGAGAGACAGACAGGTAGGGAGAGAGAGAAGTACAGAGGGCAGGGAGAGAGAGACAGACAGGTAGGGAGAGAGAGAAGTACAGAGGGCAGGGAGAGAGAGACAGACGGGTTGGGAGAGAGAGAAGTACAGAGGGCAGGGAGAGAGAGACAGACGGGTAGGGAGAGAGAGAAGTACAGAGGGCAGGGAGAGAGAGACAGACAGGTAGGGAGAGAGAGAAGTACAGAGGGCAGGGAGAGAGAGACAGACAGGTAGGGAGAGAGAGAAGTACAGAGGGCAGGGAGAGAGAGACAGACAGGTAGGGAGAGAGAGAAGTACAGAGGGCAGGGAGAGAGAGACAGGTAGGGAGAGAGAGAAGTACAGAGGGCAGGGAGAGAGAGAGACAGGAAGAGGAGAGAGAAATACTTCATGTTCAGCGAGAAAGAGAGAGTTCACATTCAGCGAGAGTTCTCATTTAGAGAGTTCACATTCAGAGAGCTCACATTTAGAGAGAGAGTGAGTTAGTTCACATTCAACAAGAGAGTTCACATTCAACAAGAGAGTTCACATTCAACAAGAGAGTTCACATTCAACAAGAGAGAAAGAGAGATTTCAAAGTGAAAGAGAGCCAGACAGCCAGTAGAGTCATGGCTCAGTCCCAGCACCTGTGGTCAGGCGTCTCCAGTATGAAGCTGTTGGTGCGGTTGTCTATGAGGATGCTCCCCATATCTCCTCCGTACAGGCTGGAGCGGGGCGTGGACAGGCAGCTGGAGCGGCCCGAGTTCAGACAGGACGACCGGTTGGAGCCGGGGATGTTCATGGGAGACGGGGCCAGAGAGGAGCGCTGACGCATCAGGTTAACGTTTTTCACGGTCTCAAACACACGCTTGGGGTGCAACCTACACACACACACACACATACCATGGACACACACACGGACACAATATCAGCGTAGCTCTAAAATGGGGTTAGGGTTAGATGTACTACAGTAGATATTGGTATTGAATAGAGATATTAGTATTGGATGAGGGTCTACTTCTGCTCTTCCACTTCCGGGTCATCCATAGCCAGCTCCTTCCTCATGGTGCCCTCAATCTCAGCAGCTAGAGAGTCCTGGGAGGACAGACAGACAGACAGACAATAGTAATGAGTACTATGTGACTAGTCTCTGAAGCCCCAGACCTAGGGCAGCAACAGCACGAGGTTAGGTCTGCGATTAATGACGGATTCTCTTGGTAACTTCGAAAAGGGGGGAGTCCTCTTCAGACAGACCACTCTCCCAACAAATCACGAGGCAGACATGCCAGAATGTAACGATTGGAAACCAAAGTTTGCAGGCAAAACCTTTGCAGTGGTTTAAGTGAAGGTAGTTGATGCAAACTAACCACTTGCATATATTTTTTTTATTTAACCTTTATTTAACCAGGTAAGCCAGTTGAGAACAAGTTCTCATTTACAACTGCGACCTGGCCAAGATAAAGCAAAGCAGTGCGATAAAAACAACAACACAGAGTTACATATGGGGTAAAACAAAACATAAAGTCAAAAATACAACAGAAAATATATATACAGTGTGTGCAAATGTAGCAAGTTATGGAGGTAAGGCAATAAATAGACTATAGTGCAAAATAATTACAATTAGTATTAACACTGGAATGATAGATGTGCAAGAGATGATGTGCAAATAGAGATACTGGGGTGCAAATTAGCAAAATAAATAACAATATAGGGATGAGGTAGTTGGGTGGGCTAATTTCAGATGGGCTGTGTACAGGTGCAGTGATCGGTAAGGTGCTCTGACAACTGATGCTTAAAGTTAGTGAGGGAGATAAGTGTCTCCAGCTTCAGAGATTTTTGCAATTTGTTCCAGTCATTGGCAGCAGAGAACTGGAAGGAATGGCGGCCAAAGGAGGTGTTGGCTTTGGGGATGACCAGTGAGATATACCTGCTGGAGCACATACTACGGGTGGGCGTAAATGCACTCATTAAAAATCACCATCTTTCTAGCTACTTATTTGTGTCCGGGGGATGTTTACGCTAGGACAACAAGCGGATGAGGCAGTGACGTAAGAAAGCTGGATGTCCCAACTCTGCCCTTCTCTCTATACCAAACTGACGTTGTATATGTCCAGCCGTGTTAAGCTGGAACATTGGTGCATTCTAGAGCAGGGCACTCCAACCCCATTCCTGGAGAGCTACCGCCCTGTAGGTTTTCACTCCAACCCTGTTCTTGGAGAGCTACCGTTCTGTAGGTTCTCTCCAACCCCGTTCCTGGAGAGCTATCGCCCTGTAGGTTTTCACTCCAACCCTGTTCCTGGAGAGCTACTGTCTTGTAGGTTTTCACTCCAACCCCGTTCCTGGAGAGCTACCGCCCTGTAGGTTTTCACTCCAACCCCGTTCCTGGAGAGCTACCGCCCTGTAGGTTTTCACTCCAACCCTAATCTATCACACCTGATTCTAATAATTATCTGGTTGATAAGCAGAACCAGGTTAGTTACAACTGGGGTTGGAGTGAAAACCTACAGGAGGGTATCTCTCCAGGAACAGGGTTGGAGTGAAAACCTACAGGAGGGTATCTCTCCAGGAACAGGGTTGGAGTGAAAACCTACAGGAGGGTATCTCTCCAGGAACAGGGTTTGTGTGAAAACCTACAGGAGGGTTTCTCTCCAGGAACAGGATTGGAGACCCATGTTATAGAGAGACTATGTGACTGAATTGAATCTAGACACACATGGGTTAATTTGTTAGAGAATCTTCTGGGTCCCAAAACACAGCCGATTGATTCGGGACAAACAAAACAAGACAGGATCCATCACACAGACATAACAGGTTTACTATGGGAACCAACCCCAACCTGTTAATCCTACTGTAAACACCTCAAAACATGACTTCTCTCTACAGGGTCAATACCAGCCATCTCCTTCTCCCGGCAGACCACGTTCACTACAGCTAGACGCTAACACAGATAAGGTGTCTACCGCTCTCTGTGACTGTCTTTATGTTACAGTTACGTCACAGTTCTGGGGCAGGGCACGGCAGTTACGACGTGGCAAAGGCTGGGCCTGGGGCCAGGACATTAGAGTTCCCTCCCTGCTCCTCACTGGTGGTGAGTGGCAACACATCATGCAGTCAGAGATGCAATAGACAGGTTCTCCACTCACCCCGTTGGCATAAACCATGCTGTTAACATCTGAGGAACGGGGTTGAAAACAAAACCTGATGAAAGGAAATCTCTCTGTATGTATACTGTTCATTGTCTGAAGAAGTTTTGCACCTGTGAATTCAGTTCTCCTTGACCTTGTACCCAGAGCCCATCCTCTTAGCTTTAGTGTTTTCAACAAACAGAATCTCTCTCTCTCTCCTCACCATAGGGAACAGGAAGTGTTGAAGTGTACTGAGGGGCAGCGTCTTATTACTCTGACTCCCTGTGTGTGTGTGTCTCACCATAGGGAACAGGAAGTGTTGAAGTGTACTGAGGGGCAGCGTTTTATTACTCTGACTCCCTGTGTGTGTGTGTCTCACCATAGGGAACAGGCCCAGGGAGTGGAAGCGTCGGGGTGTACTGAGGGGCAGCGTTTTATTACTCTGACTCCCTGTGTGTGTGTGTCTCACCATAGGGAACAGGAAGTGTTGAAGTGTACTGAGGGGCAGCGTTTTATTACTCTGACTCCCTGTGTGTGTGTGTCTCACCATAGGGAACAGGAAGTGTTGAAGTGTACTGAGGGGCAGCGTTTTATTACTCTGACTCCCTGTGTGTGTGTGTCTCACCATAGGGAACAGGAAGTGTTGAAGTGTACTGAGGGGCAGCGTTTTATTACTCTGACTCCCTGTGTGTGTGTGTCTCACCATAGGGAACAGGCCCAGGGAGTGGAAGCGTCGGGGTGTACTGAGAGGCAGTGATTTATTACTCTGACTCCCTGTGTGTGTGTGTCTCACCATAGGGAACAGGCCCAGGGAGTGGAAGCGTCGGGGTGTACTGAGGGGCAGTGATTTATTCCGGAGGTTCTTCAGCTCTTCCTGGGCCTCATGGAGCATCTCCATACACTCTGCATATTTATCCTCCAACTCCCTCAGCTAGAGGAGGGGAGAGAGGAGAGAGAGCGAGAGAAGAGGAGCGAGAGAGATGAGGAAATGCTCAGAAAACGATATGGACTATATCACCATTCTAGATAATGTTAGTGACAGTGGTAATCATATGCTGTTGAAACAACCGGGGGACATCAAACACTATTCTATTTCAATTTGGTTAGAGATTGTATTGTATTGAATTATATAACCCAACTTCCACCAGCTGACGCAATAATGCACGTGTCAAACTCATTCCACGGAGGGCCGAGTGTCTGCGGGTTTTCGCTCCTCCCTTAAGGTCACTGATTAGTTAGGAACTCCCCTCACATGGTTGTCTAGATTTAATGGAAAGGGAAAAACAAATAGCAGCAGACACTAGGCCCTCCATGGAATGAGTTGACACCCCTGAAATAATGGAAAACATCACTAGCGTGGTAATTGGGTCTCGTTAGGCAGTGCTTACTGTCCTCTGGGTAATTGATTAATGAGGCCTTACTGTACCTCAGCAGTGAGCTGGCGCTGGGCATCTTTGGCAGCTCCTAGATGCTGGGTGAGCTCCTCGTTTTCCACTGCATACTGCGGAACATAAATGACTTAGTCCCTTAGGGTTATAGGCTCACACACGTCATCATAGACACACAGATAACAGCTATGAGACTAGTTGTGTTCCAGGTCGTCTTCTTTGCAGCTGTGCATCTCTGAAGATGGCTATATTATGAATATGGTTCTACTTCTCCAGGCGTTGTGATATCAGAAGAATCTGCAGAGCTGGACAGTAAGAAAGGCGACCTGGAACATGTCCATTGGCTTGGACCGTAGCAGGCAGTCTGGGTTATTACTGGCCTGGCCACTCACAGACTTGGACTTCTTCTGCAGGTCTACGATCTGGGACAGGAGGTGTGTGATCTCCTCCTGCTGGCGAGATGCGTCATCCGTCTTCCTCGCCAGCTCCTCCGCCAGGGTGGACATCTGGTGGTTGGCATCTCCTAGTGGGCACACGGGGCGAAATAAATGACATGAGCATCCACCATGAATCAATGTTGTTGACCTCTCCTAGGCCTCCTCCGTGGCAACACTTAGCGGCCTAAATTTAGCTCCACTGAGATACATGAGGTTAACTGCCTAGTTCCCTCCATATTGCTTTTACATACCAGTCCTATCAGATGTGTGAAGTGGAGTGAACGAGGGCAGAGGGAACATCCTTATTGGAATGAAACACAGCCCTGTTTTGCTTTCTCGCAGGGAGCCCAGGGGACGTAAGATGTGAACCGTGTGTGTGTGAACCGTGTGTGTTACTCACTCAGCTCTTTGACGACGTCGTTGACCAGCTGCTGTTCCTTCTCCTCGTACTCCTCTGTCTCAGTCTCCAGGTGACTGGCCTGGTGGGGGATGACAGGATGCAGCCACGCGTCATCATCAACATCATCATTTTCATTATCACACAGCAGGAGAGCTTGGTGTAAAGTATTGGCAACAGTACTTATTCCAGTCCTATTACCACTGGTACCTCTGGTTTACTATGAAAATACTCTACTGAATCTTTCTGGTAATGTCTGAAGTTATTCAATCAAATTCGCTAATTCTTGCTAACATCATGGTGTTTGTTATAATGAACTCCCATGTGACCAAGTAATAAGTATTTCATTATGCTGTTATGTAGTTTTTTTTTTCCATTTATTAGGTGACTATAAAATAAAGTGTTACCAAGTTTCCATCTCTTCACTGTCTTTAAGGTTTAGTCAATGTTTAGCAAGGTACAGTGTTGAGTGAACTGTATAAAATAAATCCCCCAGACTGTGTGATCTTAACCCCAGGGTTCAGAGCCATGATCGGTCCCCATAGCAGTGACATTAATATCTGATGAGCTCTCCTTCACAGTATGGTCAGTAGGACACAGAATGACACAGAGGGTTAGTTAGCTACATGACTTTACCTCTGATCTAAGAGAGATGTTCTCTGCCTCCAGGTCTTTGAGTTTCTTCTGCAGTGAGTCCAGGGGGAAGTAACTTGGCACCAACAGTGTGGAGTCATTGTGGCGGATGCTGTGTGGACGAGACACGGCGGCCGGTCGGTCAGTGACAAGAGACATAGTCTACGTTCCCAAATGGCAACCTACTCCTTACGAATTGAACTACTTTTGACCACCAGGGCCCGTAGTTCAACATGTAGTGCACTACGTTTGACCAGAGCACTATTGGCCCTGGTCAAAAGTAGTGGATTACATAGGGAATAGGGTGCCATTTGGGACAAAGCCATACATTTGTAAGAACAGGGCATCATATCGCCCAAGGAGAAATTACTGGGCAGAGCTGGCAGAGGTTTAACATGATATACAGACCAGACTGGGACCATCTGCATAATTTAGACAACAAGGATAGATGGAACAGTCAATCAATGTTTTACCACCAGCGTAATAGGATGCCTGGTAGTGTCTGCCATTATGACACTAGTGGGAACGCCACTGTCTTGGTTTTCACCCGACTGCTCTGTATTTGAGGGGTAAGTGAAACAGGTCAGTTTGTGTATTTTCCTCCTGAGAGAGAGAACCAACCCCAGCCTACTGCCTCAGTCTGTCACACAGGGTCACAGTACCTCTGGAAAAAGAGGGGTTTTTTCTAGACAAACGAATCAAAGGCCTTTATTCATCTTTAAACAAACAGGCTTGAAGCCGTCCTTAAGCAGGAGACACAAACATATCAAGTAGCTACCCTTTGGATGGACTTGTGAGGACCAGTGAAATAAGAGCTTAAAGGCCCAGTGCAGTCAAAAACATGATCTTCTTGTGTTTTATATATATTTCCACACTAGGTTGGAATAATACTGTGAAATTGTGAAAATTATGATAATGCCATTTTAGTGTAAGAGCTGTTTGAAAAGACCGCCTGAAATTTCAGCCTATTTTGGTGGGATGAAGTTTTACATTTGTTATTAGACCAATAAGAGAGTTCCAAACCTTCTGCCCATAACAGATCGTTTTCAGTTTCTCTCTCCCCACTCAGACCACTCCCAGACAGTCCTAGCTAAATTCTTGCCTGAGAAATTGCTCTTTGCTAAGTATCCATTTTTGTTTCTTTTGACCATTTCAATTGAAAACAAATCACAGTAAGGTACTTAACTGTTCCCCAGAAATGATTTGATATCGAGATAGAAAACGTCTGCATTGGACCTTTAACTTGAATTGTTATACCAGTGTAAAAGGGGTGTAGCTACAATTGGGAGAAATAAGGGAAGCGAGACCTTACAGTACTGTAGGGACTAACCCCACCAGGACCACATACAGCAGTCACCTCCTCTAGCTAAATGCTTTCTCCTGAGTAACCTGAGCAATAGAGCATAGTGGGGGTATACTGACAACGGCAAAATGAAGGAGTTTTGCTTTAAGAGGAAAAAGTGGATGAGATGAGTGGAGGGGAACAGGGCCAGTTCTAGCCTTTAGCATAACAACGACCATAGGAGTTGGCTATAAACCACAAACAGCTCTCGGAACCAGGCTAATCTCACAGGCTATACAGTCCAAACAGATCTGGGACCAGGCTATGACTGAAGTGGGAGAGGAAGAGTGTAGACAGATAGACTCACGGGGTAGAGGTGGACGAATCTCCTTCACTCTCCTCTGCTGCACTAGTGTAGAACTGGAGAAGCTCATCTTTCATAGACAGATCATGGCGCAGCTGAGAAACCTGCAGAGGGAGCGAGGGGGACAGAGAGGGTGAGAAGGGAGAGAGGGGGACAGAGAGGGTGAGAAGGGAGAGAGATGAGAGAGGGAGAGAGATGAGAGAGGGATAGAGGGGGACAGAGAGGGAGAGAAATGAGAGATATATGGAGAGAGAGGAGAGAGATAAAACATTCTCCTGGTCCTGAGAGAGAAAAGTCCACATGCACAAGATGCACACACACCTCTTCTCGAATGTGCTCCACTTGCTCCTCCAGGAATTCATTTCTCTCACTGAGGGTTTTGTTCTTCTTCAGCAGTGACTGGCCGATGCGGGCGGCGAGCTCCAAGTCCCGTTCTTTCTGCAGGGGAGGCAGAGTAGGCTGGTTAGAGGGTCTGAGTATCATGCATCATGATCTAGGAATCAGGTAAAAGGGAAACAGTTGCTACTGTATGACAATGTTTGACTTGTTCTATGATGTGGTTAACTTGGCATGGCAGAGAGATAGTCAAATCTGCTCTGACAATATTCAGACCTATCATCCAAACAGAGAGAGCATTGTAAATGAAAGTGCTCTAAGTGATAAGCCATGTTTTCTTACCTCTTCAAGCAGACGTGTAACAGCATCTATGTCATTGTACGTCTTAGTCATCTGGCCCACTCTTTCAGCACATAGAACTGTAGAGACAACAGAGAGGACAGAGAGAGTTAACAGCTGTAGAGAGAACAGAGAGGAGAGAGAGAGAGAGGAGAAACAGTTAGCTGTAGAGAGAACTGAGAGCTTTGGCAATGTTAACATACGTTTCCCATGCCAATAAAGCACTTAAATTGAATTGAAACTTAATTGAATTGAGAGGAGAAACACAGTAAACAGCTGGGCTTTATCTGAGTTCAGCCATGTACTGAACAATGTAAACATTAGGGGTTCAACAAGGGTTCTTCTAAGATCCTTAGGGTTCTTGGCACTGAAAATTGCCCCCAAAAGGTTCTTCCAAGATCCCCATAGGAGGTGGGGTTCATCGAGGAACCTCATTAGCTGGTGGGGGTTCTTGCAGGAACCTAACTGCCCAACTGAACCATTTGGATTTTAATTTGAAAGGACAGCAGGTGCAGGCACTTACAGTGAAGGAAAAAGTATTTGATCCCCTGCTGATTTTGTACGTTTGCCCACTGACAAAGACATGATCAGTCTATAATTTTAATGGTAGGTTTATTTGAACAGTGAGAGACAGAATAACAACAACAAAATCTAGAAAAACGCTTGTCAAAAACGTTATAAATTGATTTGCATTTTAATGAGGGAAATAAGTATTTGACCCCTCTGCAAAACATGACTTAGTACTTGGTGGCAAAACCCTTGTTGGCAATCACAGAGGTCAGACGTTTCTTGTAGTTGGCCACCAGGTTTGCACACATCTCAGGAGGGATTTTGTCCCACTCCTCTTTGCAGATCTTCTCCAAGTCATTAAGGTTTCGAGGCTGACGTTTGGCAACTTGAACCTTCAGCTCCCTCCACAGATTTTCTATGGGATTAAGGTCTGGAGACTGACTAGGCCACTCCAGGACCTTAATGTGCTTCTTCTTGAGCCACTCCTTTGTTGCCTTGGCCGTGTGTTTTGGGTCATTGTCATGCTGGAATACCCATCCACAACCCATTTTCAATGCCCTGGCTGAGGGAAGGAGGTTCTCACCCAAGATTTGACGGTACATGGCCCTGTCCATCGTCCCTTTGATGCGGTGAAGTTGTCCTGTCCCCTTAGCAGAAAAACCCCCCCAAAGCATAATGTTTCCATCTCCATGTTTGACGGTGGGGATGGTGTTCTTGGGGTCATAGGCAGCATTCCTCCTCCTCCAAACACGGCAAGTTGAGTTGATGCCAAAGAGCTCCATTTTGGTCTCATCTGACCACAACACTTTCACCCAGTTCTCCTCTGAATCATTCAGATGTTCATTGGCAAACTTCAGACGGGCCTGTATATGTGCTTTCTTGAGCAGGGGGACCTTGCGGGCGCTGCAGGATTTCAGTCTTTCACGGCGTAGTGTGTTACCAATTGTTTTCTTGGTGACTATGGTCCCAGCTGCCTTGAGATCATTGACAAGATCCTCCCGTGTAGTTCTGGGCTGATTCCTCATTGTTCTCATGATCATTGCAACTCCACGAGGTGAGAACTTGCATGGAACCCCAGGCCGAGGGAGATTGACAGATATTTTGTGTTTCTTCTATTTGCAAATAATCGCACCAACTGTTGTCACCTTCTCACCAAGCTGCTTGGCGATGGTCTTGTAGCCCATTCCAGCCGTGTGTAGGTCTACAATCTTGTCCCTGACATCCTTGGAGAGCTCTTTGGTCTTGGCCATGGTGGAGAGTTTGGAATCTGATTGATTGATTGCTTCTGTGGACAGGTGTCTTTTATACAGGTAACAAGCTGAGATTAGGAGCACTCCCTTTAAGAGTGTGCTCCTAATCTCAGCTCGCTACCTGTATAAAAGACACCTGAGCGCCAGAAATCTTTCTGATTGAGAGGGGGTCAAATACTTATTTCCCTCATTAAAATGCAAATCAATTTATAACATTTTTGACATGCGTTTTTCTGGATTTTTTGTTTTGTTATTCTGTCTCTCACTGTTCAAATAAACCTACCATTAAAATGATAGACTGATCATTTCTTTGTCAGTGGGCAAACGTACAAAATCAGCAGGGGATCAAATACTTTTTTCCCTCACTGTAACTGAAAAATGTAAAGATCGCCACAATTTAAGGTAAGGTTTGTCCCTTGTATGATCTAAATTGATATTGTTTTATGATGATACCATCTATCTTTTCATATTTGTGCAAATCTTTCTAAAACAGAAAATGGATACAATTCAATGGATATCAATCAACAAAGAGGTAAGAATATGTATGCTATAAGAATATGTTGAAGGCTAGCTGTATTGGGTGCAGATGACTGAACTGCTCACTTTTGTGTCTGTAGGTTTACAGATGAGGAGGCATACAAAGATATGTCAATTGGTATTGGTATGTTATGCAGATCACATGTACCATCCTCCTCCCTTACCTCTTCAAGGAAAATCCCATAGGCCTCTACATTATGGACAAGGTATGTGTATGAAAACCATTATCAAAATAGTTTTATTCATCCACATTTACCACAAAAGCCAAGGTATGAATACTGTCGTGTGCATGTTTTGTTAATCATCTGTATAATTACAATTTTTGGGATTCACAGACTTCACCCTCCCTACACCTCTGATGAATATAAAAGGAAAACTGTTCGATCACCATGCACTGCAAAATCATTCTGGTTATGGATACGGAGAACATCAACACATTAACATGCCAGAGGATATACCCATTGGACTTCGGGCTCTGCTGGGAGTTTACTTTATATTTGGATTTTTTTATTCTGCTTTGCCACTAAAATCCTAATAAACACTGACATCTAAAATATTGTGTTATTGTTAAGCATATTACTAATAATAATAACAACAACAACAATAATAGGGGAGGGGGGAGTAGTTAAAAAATTCACCCCAAAAGGTTCTTTGAGGATCCATTGAAATTGGTTATTTGAAGAACCCTTTTAAATAATTTTTCGAATAAGTTATAGGGGTTCCCCCACAGTTTCAAATTGAAGAACCCCTAAAGGATCCTCCAGAAACCTTTACTTTTTAGAGTATGTATGCCTGACTGCTAAACAGCTGGGGCAGGGCAGACAGACGGATATTAGAAATAGCTGAGTTATCAGAGGGCCACCTACTGTACACATCACACAGCCCTGCCTGATGACATCAGACCTTTAGCAAGTTGTTCTTATCAGGAAGACTGACACACTGGCTCTGTCTCAATAGTGTTTCCTTGATTCCTCATTTCCTTGTGTCCTCTCAACCCTTCCTCTCCTCGTCTCTTTCTCAAAACACCAGATGAAAGCCAGGAAAGGATTCGAGGAGAGGAAACGTGTTCGTAAGGTTCCTCAAAACCCTCTCCTCGTTTCCCTCTGAGGTTTTGAGAAATCGGAGAGACGACAGGAGAGGAAGTGACAAGTGAGATGGTTCGGACTCTGACCTCACCTGAACCCCACCCCACCACAGCTGAGCTGATAACAGCACGTTGCCAAGGGGCAGTGTCATTCTCTGTTAACATAATGCTATGCTATTCCCAGCTGATCCACTGCAAAAACATGACTAAAAGTGTTTTCTATATCCATATATAGCACTCAACCCTGAGCCTATTTCTAAGCAAACTGCTTATATTTCTACATATACAATACCAGTCAAAAGTTTGGACACACCTACTCATTCAAGGGTTTTTCTTTATTTTTACTATTTTCTACATTGTAGAATAATAGTGAAGACATCAAAACTATGAAATAACACATATGGAATCATGTAGTAACCAAAAAAAGTGTTAAACAAATCCAAATATATTTTATATTTGAGATTCTTCAAAATAGCCACCCTTTGCCTTGATGACAGCTTTGCACTCTCTTGGAATTCTCTCAGCCAGCTTAATGAGGTAGTCACCTGGAATGTATTTCAATTAGCAGGTGTGCCTTCTTAAAAGTTCATTTGTGGAATTTCTTTCCTTCTTAATGTGTTTGAGCCAATTAGTTGTGTTGTTGACAAGGTAGGGGGGTATACAGAAGATAGCCCTATTTGGTAAAAGACGAAGTCCATATTATGGCAAGAACAGCTCAAATAAGCAAAGAGAAACGACAGTCCATCATTACTTTAAGAGATGAAGGTAAGTCAATACGGAACATTAAGACCTTTGAAAGTTTCTTCAAGTGCAGTCGCAAAAACCATCAAGCGCTATGATGAAACTGGCTCTCATGAGGACCACCACATGAATGGAAGACCCAGAGTTACCGCTGCTGCAGAGGATAAGTTCATTAGAGTTACCAGACTCAGAAATTGCAGCCCAAATAAATGCTTCACAGTGTTGAAGTAACAGACACATCTCAACATCAACTGTTCAGAGGAGACTGTGTGAATCAGGTCGAATTGTGCAAAGAAACCACTACTAAAGGACACCAATAAGTAGAAGAGACTTGTTTGGGCCAAGAAACACGAGCAATGGACATTAGACCGGTGGAAATGTGTCCTTTGGTCTGGAGTCCAAATTGGAGATTTTTGGTTCCAACTGCCGTGTCTTTGTGAGATGCGGTGTGGGTGAACGGATGATCTCTGCATGCTTGTTTCCCACCATAAAGAATGGAGGAGGTGGTGTTATGGTGTGGGGGTGCTTTGCTGGTGACACCGTCTGTGATTTATTTAGAATTCAAGGCACATTTAACCAGCATGACTACCATAGCATTCTGCAGCGATACGCCATCCCATCTGGTTTGGGCTTAGTGGGACTATAATTTGTTTTTCAACAGGAAAATGACCCAACACACCTCCAGGCTGTGTAAGGGCTATTTTACCAAGAAGGAGAGTGATGGAGTGCTGCATCAGATGATCTGGCCTCCACAATCCCCCTCAATCAAATTGAGATGTTTGGGATGAGTCAGACTGCAGAGTGAAGGAAAAGCAGCCAACAAGTGCTCAGCATATGTGGGAACTCCTTCAAGACTGTTGGAAAAGCATTCCAGGTGAAGCTGGTTGAGAGAATGCCAAGAGTGTGCAAATCTGTCATCAAGGCAAATGGTGGCTATTTGAAGAATCTCAAATATAAAATATATTTGGATTTGTTTAGCACTTTTCTGGTTACTACATGATTCCATATGTGTTATTTCATAGTTTTGAAATGTAGAAAATAGTAAAAATAAAGAAAAACCCTTGAATGAGTAGGTGTGTCCAAACTTTGGACTGGTACTGTATGTATGTATGTATGTATGTATGTATGTATGTATGTACGTACGTACAGTGGGGAAAAAAACGATTTAGTCAGCCACCAATTGTGCAAGTTCTCCCACTTAAAAAGATGAGAGAGGCCTGTAATTTTCATCATAGGTACACGTCAACTATGACAGACAAAATGAGAAAAAAATCACATTGTAGGATTTTTAATGAATTTATTTGTAAATTATGGTGGAAAATAAGTATTTGGTCAATAACAAAAGTTTCTCAATACTTTGTTATATACCCTTTGTTGGCAATGACACAGGTCAAACGTTTTCTGTAAGTCTTCACAAGGTTTTCACACACTGTTGCTGGTATTTTGGCCATTCCTCCATGCAGTGATGTTTTGGGGGCTGTCGCTGGGCAACACAGACTTTCAACTCCCTCCAAAGATTTTCTATGGGGTTGAGATCTGGAGACTGGCTAGGCCACTCCAGGACCTTGAAATGCTTCTTCTTACGAAGCCACTCCTTCGTTGCCCGGGCGGTTGTGTTTGGGATCATGTCATGCTGAAAGACCCAGCCACGTTTCATCTTCAATGCCCTTGCTGATGGAAGGAGGTTTTCACTCAAAATCTCACGATACATGGCCCCATTCATTCTTTCCTTTACACGGATCAGTCGTCCTGGTCCCTTTGCAGAAAAACAGCCCCAAAGCATGATGTTTCCACCCCCATGCTTCACAGTAGGTATGGTGTTCTTTGGATGCAACTCAGCATTCTTTGTCCTCCAAACACGACGAGTTGAGTTTTTACCAAAAAGTTCTATTTTGGTTTCATCTGACCATATGACATTCTCCCAATCCTCTTCTGGATCATCCAAATGCACTCTAGCAAACTTCAGACGGGCATGGACATGTACTGGCTTAAGCAGGGGGACACGTCTGGCACTGCAGGATTTGAGTCCCTGGCGGCGTAGTGTGTTACTGATGGTAGGCTTTGTTACTTTGGTCCGAGCTCTCTGCAGGTCATTCACTAGGTCCCCCCGTGTGGTTCTGGGATTTTTGCTCACCGTTCTTGTGATCATTTTGACCCCACGGGGTGAGATCTTGCGTGGAGCCCCAGATCGAGGGAGATTATCAGTGGTCTTGTATGTCTTCCATTTCCTAATAATTGCTCCCACAGTTGATTTATTCAAACCAAGCTGCTTACCTATTGCAGATTCAGTCTTCCCAGCCTGGTGCAGGTCTACAATTTTGTTTCTGGTGTCCTTTGACAGCTCTTTGGTCTTGGCCATAGTTGAGTTTGGAGTGTGACTGTTTGAGGTTGTGGACAGGTGTCTTTTATACTGATAACAAGTTCAAACAGGTGCCATTAATACAGGTAACGAGTGGCGGACAGAGGAGCCTCTTAAAGAAGAAGTTACAGGTCTGTGAGAGCCAGAAATCTTGCTTGTTTGTAGGTGACCAAATACTTATTTTCCACCATAATTTGCAAAAAAATTCATTACAAATCCTACAATGTGATTTTCTGGAGAAATAAATTCTCAATTTGTCTGTCATAGTTGACGTGTACCTATGATGAAAATTACAGGCCTCTCATCTTTTTAAGTGGGAGAACTTGCACAATTGGTGGCTGACTAAATACTTTTTTTCCCCCACTGTACGTACATACATACATACATACATACATACATACATACATACATACATACATACATACATACATACATACATACATACATACATACATACATACATACATACATACATACATACATACATACATACATACATACATACATACATACATACATACATACATACATACATACATACATACATACATACATACATACATACATACATACATACATACATACATACATACATACAGTGAGGGAAAAAAGTATTTGATCCCCTGCTGATTTTGTACGTTTGCCCACTGACAAAGAAATGATCAGTCTATAATTTTAATGGTAGGTTTATTTGAACAGTGAGAGACAGAATAACAACAAAAAAATCCAGAAAAACGCATGTCAAAAATGTTATAAATTGATTTGCATTTTAAATGAGGGAAATAAGTATTTGACCCCCATCTCAATCAGAAAGATTTCTGGCTCCCAGGTGTCTTTTATACAGGTAACAAGCTGAGATTAGGAGCACACTCTTAAAGGGAGTGCTCCTAATCTCAGCTTGTTACCTGTATAAAAGACACCTGTCCACAGAAGCAATCAGATTCCAAACTCTCCACCATGGCCAAGACCAAAGAGCTCTCCAAGGATGTCAGGGACAAGATTGTAGACCTACACAAGGCTGAAATGGGCTACAAGATCATTGCCAAGCAGCTTGGTGAGAAGGTGACAACAGTTGGTGCGATTATTCGCAAATGGAAGAAGCACAAAAGAACTGTGAATCTCCCTCGGCCTGGGGCTCCATGCAAGATCTCACCTCGTGGAGTTGCAATGATCATGAGAACGGTGAGGAATCAGCCCAGAACTACATGGGAGGATCTTGTCAATGATCTCAAGGCAGCTGGGACCATAGTCACCAAGAAAACAATTGGTAACACACTACGCCGTGAAGGAACCTTCAGCTCCCTCCACAGATTTTCTATGGGATTAAGGTCTGGAGACTGGCTAGGCCACTCCAGGACCTTAATGTGCCTCTTCTTGAGCCACTCCTTTGTTGCCTTGGCCGTGTGTTTTGGGTCATTGTCATGCTGGAATACCCATCCACGACCTATTTTCAATGCCCTGGTTGAGGGAAGGAGGTTCTCACCCAAGATTTGACGGTACATGGCCCCGTCCATCGTCCCTTTGATGCGGTGAAGTTGTCCTGTCCCCTTAGCAGAAAAACACCCCCAAAGTTGAGTTGATGCCAAAGAACTCGATTTTGGTCTCATCTGACCACAACACTTTCACCCAGTTCTCCTCTGAATCATTCAGATGTTCATTGGCAAACTTCAGACGGCCCTGTATATGTGCTTTCTTGAGCAGGGGGACCTTGCGAGCGCTGCAGGATTTCAGTCCTTCACGGCGTAGTGTGTTACCAATTGTTTTATTGGTGACTATGGTCCCAGCTGCCTTGAGATCATTGACAAGATCCTCCCGTGTAGTTCTGGGCTGATTCCTCACCGTTCTCATTATCATTGCAACTCTACGAGGTGAGATCTTGCATGGCACCCCAGGCCGAGGGAGATTGACAGTTCTTTTGTGCTTCTTCCATTTGCGAATAATCGCACCAACTGTTGTCACCTTCTCACCAAGCTGTTTGGCGATGGTCTTGTAGCCCATTCCAGCCTTGTGTACGTCTACAATCTTGTCCCTAACATCCTTGGAGAACTCTTTGGTCTTGGCCATGGTGGAGAGTTTGGAATCTGATTGATTGATTGCTTCTGTGGACAGGTGTCTTTTATACAGGTAATAAGCTGATATTAGGAGCACTCCCTTTAAGAGTGTGCTCCTAATCTCAGCTCGTTACCTGTATAAAAAGACACCTGGGAGCCAGAAATCTTTCTGATTGAGAGGGGGTCAAATACCTATTTCCCTCATTAAAATGCAAATCAATTTATAACATTTTTGACATGCGTTTTTCTGGATTACTTTGTTGTTATTCTGTCTCTCACTGTTCAAATAAACCTACCATTAAAATTAAAGACTGATCATTTATTTGTCAGTGGGCAAACATACAAACTCAGCAGGGGATCAAATACTTTTTTCCCCCCTCACTGCATGCATGCATGCATACATACATAGCATTTGGAAAGTATTCAGACCCCTTGACATGTCAGAGCAAAAACCAAGCCATGAGGTCGAAGGAATTGTCCGTAGAGCTCAGAGACAGGACTGTGTCAAGGCACAGATCTGGGGAAGTGTACCAAAAAATTATCTGCTGCATTGAAGGTCCCCAATAACACAGTGGCCTCCATCATTCTTAAAAGGAATTAGTTTGCAACCACCAAGACTTCCTAGAGCTGGCCGCCCGGCCAAACTGAGAAATCGGGGGAGAAGGGCCTTGGTCAGGAAAGTGACCAAGAACCCGATGGTCACTCTGACAGAGCTCTGGAGTTCCTCTGTGGAGATGGGAGAACCTTCCAGAAGGACAACCATCTCTGCAGCACTCCACCAATCAGGCCTTTATGGTAGACTGGCCAGAAGGAAGCCACTCCTCAGTAAAAGGCATGACAGCCTGCTTGGAGTTTGCCAAAAGGCACCTAAAGGATTCTCAGACCATGAGAAACAAGATTCTCTGGTCTGATGAAACCAAGATTGAACTCTTTGGCCTGAATGCCAAGCGTCACGTCTGGAGGAAACCAGGCACCGCTCATCACCTGGCCAATACCATCCCTACGGTGAAGCATGGTGGTGGCAGCATCATGCTGTGGGGATGTTTTTCAGCGGCAGGGACTGGGAGACCAGTCAGGATCGAGGAAAAGACAAACGGAGCAAAGTACAGAGAGATCCTTGATGAACACCTGCTTCAGAGCGCTCCGGACCTCAGACTGGGGCGAAGGTTCACCTTCCAACAGGACAACGACCCTAAGCACACAGCCAAGACAATGCAGGAGTGGCTTTGGGAAAAGTCTCTGAATGTCCTTGAGTGCCTCAGCCTGAGGCCGGACTTGAACCCGATCTAACATCTCTGGAGAGACTTGAAAATAGCTGTGTAGCGACGCTCCCCATCCAACCTGACAGGGCTTGAGAGGATCTGCAGAGAAGAATGGGAGAAACTCCCCAAATACAGGTGTGCCAAGCTTGTAGCGCCATACCCAAGAAGACACGAGGCTGTAATCTCTTCCAAAGGTGCTTTAACAAAGTACTGACTAAAGGGTCTGAATACTTATGTAAATGTATTTTCGGTTTTTTATTCTGTATACATTTGCAAAAAAAATCTGAAAACCTGTTTTTGCTTTGTCATTATGAGCTATTGTGTGTAGATTGATCAGGGAAAAAAACAATATAATCAATTTTAGAACAAGGCTGTAACGTAACGATTAGTTACCGGAGTGTAACTCCAGTTCTATGAGTGGAGCGGAGCCCCATAGGGGAGCTCTGCTCCTAGTGGTTTACCCTCTGCCCTACGGCAGCAGCAGCCTGAGACAAAATTATGCACACACCTACAGCCAATAGGAGTACAGGTGTCCCTATAAGAGGGGATGCCTCCCCTCAATCAGCCTCCCGATATATTTTTCTTCAGCGAGACTAGAGAGGGTCGGCAGGGCCTTAAGTCCTATGGGGCTCCGCTCCACTCATAGAACTGGAGTTACACTCCGGTAACTAATCGTTCTATATCGTGGAGCTCCGCCCCATAGGGGAGCTCTGCTCCTAGTGGTTTAAGGCGGAGCGTAGTGCTCCAAAATGTACTCCCTGCCGAGCCTAACACTTCCCATCGAAACGAGAAAGTCAGACCTAGCAATGGCTGAAACCGAGTCCCGCAGTACTGCAACTAAAAACCCTACGGGCGTCACAATATACCGTGTCATCGGTTAAAGACCCGCCCCACCTAGTCCAATGGCAATGCCAATGACTAGTGGGCAGATCACCAGAATAGAAGCCATACTAATCTGTACTAGCAGATAGATGTGCCTCAATATCCTGTGAAAACACTACCGACCACTAATGGAATGACACCAAGTGTCACTCTACATTGTAAACGCGGTAGACCGCCTCACTCACTCAATGGAATCCCAGAGATTAGTGGGCAGGAACAAAAACATGAGTCATACTAACTGAACAAGCAGATAGATGACCTCACATTCTGTTAATCAACGCATGCCTCTACTGTACTGACCCTGTCAGTCAGGATTCATGCCACAAAATATGTTTTCCTATCCAAAGCGGACCTGATGGAAACCCTGTCCATAGTCCTGCTTTTCCCTCTCTTCCTAGCTCAAGATCTCCCTTCAGCTATGCTGAGTACAGACCGAGCCAAAGAGTTAGAAAACACATCTGTCAAAAAACACGTCTTCCTAACCAAAGCGGACCTGATGGAAACCTGTGTCCACAGTCCTGCTTCTCCTCTCTTTCTTGCTCAAGATCTCCCTTCAGCCACGCTGAGTACAGATCGAGCCAGAGAATTAGAAGACATATCTAAGAGATAGAAACTGATAAATGGAGACGGCGTCGACCAGGATGCTGCTCTACAGATATCCTCTACTCCTGTTCCTCTGAAAAGGGCAGTAGAAGCCGCTACTCCACGAGTGGAGTGAGCTCTGATACCCTGAGGCAATTGCCGCCCCGCTGCCTCATAAGCTGTCTCAATGCCTTCACAAAGCCAATGAGACAACCTCTGTTTTGAAAGTGGTCTACCTAGTGCAGCCGCACCGTGACACACAAACAACTGAGGCGATGACCTAATCGCTGCTGTGCGCTCGACGTAACATGCCAAAGCGCGTACCGGGCACAGGCGATGGAGCTTTTCCTCACTCCTCTCTCTATGAGGAGGAGGAGAAAAAGCCCACAGCTCCACGGTCTGTGACCTATATGAACTCTTAATAACCTTCGGCACAAATGCCGGGTTAGGACGTAACACTGCTCTGCTCAGGTCACCATTGATGGCCAAGCAGTCAGGTCTCGTCGAAAGAGCACACAAATCACTGACCCGCTTAGCTGTAGTCAAAGCGAGCAACAGTGCTGTCTTTATAGACAGCATCTTGAGGGGTATTTGATTCAATGGCTCGAACGGCGACTTACATAGCGCTTCGAGTACCAAAGCCAAATCCCACTGAGGAAGCGTGACTCTAGGTGTTGGCCTAAGTCGCCGCGTTCCTAATAGGAAGCGTTTCACTAGAGGGTGGCTAAAGACATTGTCTCTGCCAAAACCCTCATGACAAGCTGAAATCGCTGCTGCAAACACTCTAATCGTGGCAGGCGATTTTTGCTTATCAAACATGAGCTGTAGAAAAGAGAGAATACTCTCCACCTGACAGCTCATGGGGTCTACACCTTGTGTGACACACCATCGTGAAAACACGTTCCATCTACTGGCATACATCTTAGAAGTGGAACTGGCACGTGAACCCTGTATGGTCCTGATCACTGCATCAGATAACCCACGGCGCTCTAGCCTGTCCCTCTCAGCAGCCAGGCCTTCAGTGGTTGGCCGATTATGGGCAATTTCCCTATCGTGCCAGCCGCCTGAGACAACGCGTCCCGTCGATGTGGAATTGGCCAAGGTGGCGCAATCAACATCTGACTCATCTCCGCAAACCAAGGAGCCCCCGGGCGATCGGGCGCTATCAGTATCACTGACAGCCCCCCTGACCTCACCCTGGCTAGCAGTGGGAGAATGCAGGACAGCGGAGGGAATGCATACAGGAGAACTCTCGGCCACGGTTGGTGCGCAAAGGCATCCCTTCCCAGTGGCGGTTCGTCCTGTTCCCTCAGAGAGAACCACAGAGGACATTGCGCGATCACACGTGACGCGAATAGGTCCACCTCGGCTCTCCCGAATTGTTCCCAAATCTGGAGAACAATGTCTGGATGCAGACACCACTCGTCGTCTCGAGGACCCCCTCTTGACATGAGGTCTGCTCCTACGTTCAAGTAGCCCGGAATGTGTGCTGCTCTCAATGAGCGAAGGTGCTCGTGAGCCCACAGCCACAATTCCTCTGCCGCCCGATGGAGAGCAGGAGACCTGACTCCTCCCTGGCGATTTATGTGGGCTACTGTGGTCCGGTTGTCTGACCAGACCAGCACATCGCGACCCCGAAGGGTAGACGCAAAGTGGGTCAGAACCAGTCGAACCGTTTCCAACTCCAGGAGGTTGATGTGACGACCTGATTGAGGCCACACACCTCCTATCGCTTGTGTCTGACATGTCCCTCCCCATCCCGTCAGGGACGCATCCGTGAATACTGGGATGTGAGAGGACACCTTTCCTATCGGGACTCCGTGCGTGAGAACGCGCGAGTTTCTCCAATAGTTTAGGTCTGCACTGAGCGAGAGGGGAACCACCACCAAATCAAATCAAATCAAATTTTATTGGTCACATGCGCCGAATACAACAGGTGCAGACATTACAGTGAAATGCTTACTTACAGCCCTTAACCAACAGTGCATTTATTTTAAACAAAAAAGTAAGAATAAAAAATAAAAATAAAATAGTGTTGAGAAAAAAAGAGCAGAAGTAAAATAAAGTGACAGTAGGGAGGCTATATATACAGGGGGGTACCGTTGCAGAGTCAATGTGCGGGGGCACCGGCTAGTTGAGGTAGTTGAGGTAATATGTACATGTGGGTAGATTTAAAGTGACTATGCATAAATACTTAACAGAGTAGCAGCAGCGTAAAAAGGATGGGGTGGGGGGGCAGTGCAAATAGTCTGGGTAGCCATGATTAGCTGTTCAGGAGTCTTATGGCTTGGGGGTAGAAGCTGTTGAGAAGTCTTTTGGACCTAGACTTGGCACTCCGGTACCGCTTGCCGTGCGGTAGCAGAGAGAACAGTCTATGACTAGGGTGGCTGGAGTCTTTGACAATTTTGAGGGCCTTCCTCTGACACCGCCTGGTATAGAGGTCCTGGATGGCAGGAAGCTTTGCCCCAGTGATGTACTGGGCCGTACGCACTACCCTCTGTAGTGCCTTGCGGTCGGAGGCCAAGCAGTTGCCATACCAGGCGGTGATGCAACCAGTCAGGATGCTCTCGATGGTGCAGCTGTAGAATTTTTTGAGGATCTGAGGACCCATGCCAAATCTTTTTAGTCTCCTGAGGGGGAATAGGCTTTGTCGTGCCCTCTTCACGACTGTCTTGGTGTGTTTGGACCATGATAGTTCGTTGGTGATGTGGACACCAAGGAACTTAAAGCTCTCAACCTGTTCCACTACAGCCCCGTCGATGAGAATGGGGGCGTGCTCAGTCCTATTTTTTTTCCTGTAGTCCACAATCATCTCCTTTGTCTTGGTCACGTTGAGGGAGAGGTTGTTGTCCTGGCACCACACGGCCAGATCTCTGACTTCCTCCCTATAGGCTGTCTCATCGTTGTCGGTGATCAGGCCTACCACTGTTGTGTCGTCGGCAAACTTAATGATGGTGTTGGAGTCGTGCCTGGCCATGCAGTCATGGGTGAACAGTGAGTACAGGAGGGGACTGAGCACGCACCCCTGAGGGGCCCCCATGTTGAGGATTAGTGTGGCAGATGTGACCAACCGATGACGTTGACGCAATGGGTCTAGTCTTAGTTGGGCGAACCATCGCTGCATCCTGCGCATATGCAGGAGTCCCAGCGGAACCACAGAGTGGGCTGACGACATGAGACCCAAAAGTGACATGATCGACAGCGCCGTCACCGTGTGATTCGGACGACACTTCCTTAGGGCTAGCAACAAGGCTACCCTTCGGGGGTCCGAGATTCGGGCCCTCATCCTCACAGTGTCTAGCTGTATCCCCAGGTAGACAATCTGATGAGTGGGCCAGGGCGCGCTCTTTTTCCAATTCACAGCAAACCCCAGACTTGTGAGATGCATCACTGTCTGTGTTGTGTGAGTGATCGCCAGCTCTGCTGACGGGGCGAGAACCAGTAGGTCGTCCAGGTAGGCTAGTAGCCGTATTCCCTGACGACGCAACGGTTCCAATGCCGCCTCCACACACTTGGAAAATGTGCGAGGTGCCAGGGCGTACCCAAATGGCATCCTCGTGTATTCGTACGCCACCCCTTGAAAGGAGAACCGCAGAAACTTCCTGTGACGCGGCTGAACCGGCACATGAAAGTACGCGTCCTTTAGGTCTATGCTCGTACAAAAGTCCCCTCTCTGGACACATTCCAGCAGACGTTTTGTCGTTAGCATTCGGAAGGGCCGTTTGGTTATGCTCTCGTTGAGAATGCGTAAATCCAAAATCGGCCTCACTCCCCCCGTCTTTTTGGGCACTAGGAAATAAGGCGAATATAGCCCTTTGTTCCTTTGCTCCCGGGGAACTACTGTCACCGCCTCCTTCGCCAAAAGTTCCGTAATCTCTGTCATCAGAGCGGCCACTTTGTCTGGCGTTTTCATCACCGTCTCCACCACTCCCCTGAACGGGGGTGGGGTCTGGTGGAATTGGAGGGCATAACCCTTCTGCAACGTCTGTTCTAGCCAGCGTGAGAGGGTGCAGCTTCTTTGCCACTGCCAGCAATGCAGAGAAAGCGGCTGGGCGCGAAGCTGTGGTGCATCCAGTAGGAAGGACCTGTATTCCTCTATGGCCCTTACCGCCACTGTTCCCCAACATTGAAGTGGTGGAACAGCCCAAGGTGGGCCTCCCGTGAAAGGGAGAGGAACTATCGATGCGTTCTGAGAAAGAAAGAGGAGTAGGGACGTCGGTTAAAACCCGTAACTGTCGTATTCCTGCCCTCCTTGAACGCATCGCGGGTCTGAATTGCGCTGACCGAGGCCACAGCCTGCGGCAGGGCACCATCCCCAGCAAGCGATTGCGTCATCTTAGGTGACTGCAATTCGCTATCAGAGCCCTTCACTACAGTACTCCTAGAAGTCTGTAGTATGAGGTCTCTATGAGGTAAAACAAGGCGGCGCCTTGATACCTTCTTGACTTTCACCTTCTGTGTGTGTTCAACACTGCACCCTGGTGGGTTGATTCACGCTCAGTGTGGTGAGTACTGGCTCGTTCTGTCAGGGGAGCTGATACTTTGGTTATACCAATAACGCTAGTAATCCTGCCCTCCGTGAACGTAGCATGGGTCTGAATCGCATTAACCGAGACCGAGGTCTGCGATAATGCGCCGTCCCCAGATAGCTGCTGTGTTACAATGCCTGGGGGCGCCGATACTCTGGGCACCTTGGTGACCGCGGTAATCGGGCCCTCCGTGAACGCAGCATGGGTCTGGCTCGTACTAGTGGAGACCTTAGGTCTGTGCTAGTGCGCCATCCCCAAATAGCGGCTGCGTCCTCATGTCAGAATCTGACCGGGACTGCTGCCTTCTATGTAAAGCACTTCTTATACGTGAAGTGTGATGTGACGACCTGATTGAGGTCTTCTGGATACCTACTCTTAGTGCCTGTTCAGCAACGCATCCTCGGTGGGCTGAACGGCTCTTAGAGTGGTAAGGAAGAGAGGGTGAGATTTGAACGCTCTCGGACGTATTATGGAAAAGAGGCTCTTTTTTGACAAAGTCAGGTGGAGCCAACTCTTTATTAAACACATCAACAAAGGCATTAACATCAACACCCATCCCTTCAACCGAAGGGTGGGGGGGGAACAGTGGGCACGTTCGACACCATCGATGCGTCCTCCATCCTCTCTCCCCGCGTCCCGTCACGTACGCCTCCTCTTGCCTCCCTTGGAGGGCCAGGTCGGCGTCCTCGTCACCTCCCTCGCCGGCTGTAGTGGGGCTACCGTAGCTGCTGGGAGGCCGGGCCCGTTCCCTTGCTGCTCGTGGCCGCCGGATGACGCCGATTACGCCGCCTCGTCGTAGACCCCGGTCTACTTAGAGGGGCGGAGGTAGATGGCCTTTGGGGAGGAGGGGGGCCGAGTCGTCCTGCCAACGGCAGGTGCTTGGCCAACTGCTTCTTCTCCTCCTCTAACTTAGAGAAACGCTCCGTCGCCTCTTTGACTGCGACCCCAAAGAGGCCGTCCTCAGAGAGGGGGGTGTTCAAGAGAGACGTCCTGTCTGCCTCTTTCATGGATGTCAATGACAACCAGAGGTGTGGTTCCCCGACCACCGAAGTGGCCATGGATCTCCCCGCGCAGACTGCGGACGCCTGTGTCAGGTGGAGTATGGCGCCAGAAATTCTGGACGCCTCCTCCACCTCCTCCGGTGCCATCTCTGTCTTACCCGTGGTTAAACGGGACAGAGAGGCCGCCAAAAGAGGACAATGTTGTTAGCTGCTGCTACAGCTTGGGCTCCCAATCCAAAAGACTTCTCTAACAGCTGTGCTGTGAGTCGGTCCTTCTGGGATGGCAACGTGGCCTTCTTGGAAGAGGGCCAAGGGCTCGAACCCGGTACGAGATACGCCGCCATGGCGCTCTCTAACCTGGGGATTCCCTGACCCTGAAACCTTCCTTCCACTCTCGTGAATGGGAGATACGCTTTTACAGGCGAACGCGCCGCTAAAGGTGCCTCCCACGAGCCCTCAACGTACCTAGCCAAAGAAGGCATGGCAGGAGCCACTGGCTCTGCCGCCTTCCTTGGCCTGGAATAAGGACCGCCCTCCATCATATCAACCTCCGGTGCGGAGGGAAGAGGGGGCAGCCTTATTACCAGCCGTTGAGCAGCTCTCTCAATGAGGCCCGGAAAGTCCGATCTCAGAGATGCTGCAGCGAAAGAGAGAGCTTCTGATCTCTCAGAGCTCGTATCCCCTTCGCTATAGGGACTACAAGCCCTCTCGCTCTCCAAAGGAAAGGTGGGCTTGAAAGTATGAGGGACGGGGTCCGACTGTTCCATTGGAATGCCAGACCCTTCCTCAAAGTCCCTATCTTCCCCCGAGTCTGCGCCGTCGGACGACGCCTCTGAAGCAGAGGCTAGTATCGACAGCACATCCTCAAGGGGGATGTCCTCCCTGAAAAACGCCCAACGCTGCTTCCTCTCCTTTAAAGAAAGGAGGGCGCAGGAGGCGCAATTCGGGGGACTGCAGACGCCTTCCTTGGCATGCTGGGATCCCAAACACACGAAACATAGGTCGTGGTGGTCACCGGCCGCCATGGAAGTGCATCTGCACTGAGCTCTGAAAAGAGCTTTTGGGGGTGGAAAATCTCCCGGTGTGCTCATTTAGACGACGTTGATGACTGGAATATCAACGGCGTTTTCGTCCTGAGTCTTCGTGCTTCGTCTCTTCTTGGCTCTTCAGTCTAGTCATCCAGTCGCTGAAGAAAAAGGGAGGCTGATTGAGGGGAGGCATCCCCTCTTATAGGGACACCTGTACTCCTATTGGCTGTAGGTGTGTGCATAATTTTGTCTCAGGCTGCTGCTGCCGTAGGGCAGAGGGTAAACCACTAGGAGCAGAGCTCCCCTATGGGGCGGAGCTCCACGATATAGAACAAAAACAATTATAAAACAAAGAAGAACTATACTGTATATTAAAATGATTGTTGAACTTCAACTGTAATCTAAAGGCATATTCTAAGAAGAAACCTTGAACTCACTCCTGCCCTTTTCATTTCTCACTCAATCTCTCCATCCACAGTTTGTAGTCTATTAATGAGCAAGTCATATCAGGTTCCCAAAACGTCAACAGAGGCAACACAGAGCTAGGAACAACAGAGTCCAACTTTAATCTGTGGTTACTCCTAACTAACCTTGTGGATGTTGACAATAGGAAGACTTGTTTCTTCAGACAACTCCTATGTGTTATTTCTTTGGGGTTGAAGGGATACTTTGGGATTTTGGCAATGAGGCCCTTTATCTACTTCCCCAGAGTCAGATGAACTAGTGGACACCATTTTTATGTGTCTGCGTGCAGTTTGAAGGAAGTCGCTAACTAGCGCAAGCGCAATTGCTAACTAGCTAGCAGATACCCATAGACTTCCAGTCACTGTGCTAACGCTAGTTAGCAATTGCGCTAGTTAGCAACTTCTTCAAACTGCAGACAGACACATAAAAATGGTATCCACAAGTTCATCTGACTCTGGGAAAGTAGATAAAGGGCCTCATTGCCAAAATCCCAAAGTATCCCTTTAAGGGAGAGTTTGTTCTAATCTCAGATAGGTTTCTGTAGGGCAGCAAACACAGGTTTTGAACTCCAATGGTGGAAATGAATGTAAATGAGTTAGATGCAAAGTACATATTTACATACATGTGCAGCCTGCAGCATCAGTGTGCAGGCATGATAGCGAATGGCCACTACAGTATAAGAAAGGGTTATTGGATGATAAAAAAACAATGTAGAGTAATTTACTCTGTGACAGGTGCATTTAAACTGAAAGGCAGACATGTATACAAAGTCATGTTACATTACAAAACACATTCCATCACCACCACTGAAAATGCGATATTCTAATATCCTAATGAGCACAACAAAAGAACAACAAATAACCAGGGTGTGGTGTCAACATTTTGAGGTGGACTGCAACCACGGAAACCAACCGACCAACCAGAGACTAATCAACAGCACACACATAGCATAGATCGGGGATGTGATAGAATAGATATAGATCCAGCGGCGCACCACACATCAGAGCTAACCCAGGCCCCATGTTACTGGGTAGGGTATAGGCAGACAGCTGCTCTCTGCTCCCCTAACCCAGGCCCCATGTTACTGGGTAGGGTATAGGCAGACAGCTGCTCTCTGCTCCCCTAACCCAGGCCCCATGTTACTGGGGTAGGGTATAGGCAGACAGCTGCTCTCTGCTCCCCTAACCCAGGCCCCATGTTACTGGGTAGGGTATAGGCAGACAGCTGCTCTCTACTCCCCTAACCCAGGCCCCATGTTACTGGGGTAGGGTATAGGCAGACAGCTGCTCTCTACTCCCCTAACCCAGGCCCCATGTTACTGGGTAGGGTATAGGCAGACAGCTCGCTCTCTACTCCCTAACCCAGGCCCCATGTTACTGGGTAGGGTATAGGCAGACAGCTGCTCTCTGCTCCCCTAACCCAGGCCCCCATGTTACTGGGTAGGGTATAGGCAGGACAGCTGCTCTCTTGCTCCCCCTAACCCAGGCCCCCATGTTACATGGGTAGGGTATAGGCAGACAGCTGCTCTCTGCTCCCCTAACCCAGGCCCCATGTTACTGGGTAGGGTATAGGCAGACAGCTGCTCTCTGCTCCCCTAACCCAGGCCCCATGTTACTGGGTAGGGTATAGGCAGACAGCTGCTCTCTACTCCCTAACCCAGGCCCCATGTTACTGGGTAGGGTATAGGCAGACAGCTGCTCTCTGCTCCCCTAACCCAGGCCCCATGTTTACTGGGTAGGTATAGGCAGACAGCTGCTCTCTACTCCCCTAACCCAGGCCCCATGTTACTGGGTAGGGTATAGGCAGACAGCTGCTCTCTGCTCCCACGGTGATACTGCTCATGTTAAATAACAGCAGTAGTAAACATCAGAAGACTGATCTGACCTGCTGGCTGCCTTTGTTCTGTTGATGCTATCAGAAGCCTGATGACATGCCGGCTGCCTGTTCTGTTGATGCTATCAGAAGCCTGATGACCTGCATTCCATGTTTACTCTGAATACAAACAATGTACTAAATGTCCTCGCGGTTCTCCTGGTATAATACAAATTCACATGAAAACCTTTCACATAAAGACCTAAAACCAATCAATGTAGTATAGACAGGGAGCAGGAGAAGCAGACAGCAGTCTAACAATGTGGTTCAAAACCACTACGTGAATGACAGGAGTAGCAAAGCTCCCATAATTCCAGTTAGTATACCTTCTTCCAGAGTACGCTGCTCTTCATCCTCCTCCTCCTCCTCTCCATCACAGTGGTCAGGTGAACAGACATACTCCAAGCTGTCCTCTGGGGTGCTGTGACAGGGCAGTGACATGCTAACACCAACACTAGGCTAGTGGCTAGTGGGGCCCAGCAGAGCCCAGCTGTCTCAAGTCCAAAGCCATGTCTCAGTGTGTGTGTGTGTGTGTGTGTGTGTGTGTGTGTGTGTGTGTCAGTCTCAGTCAGCGAGAGAGTGTGTGTGTCTAAGTCAGTGTGTGTGTTTGTGTGAGGACAGCAAGGCACGTCTGTCACCCAGTCAGACACTCCCTCCCTCCTCCTGCTCTCTCTGGTCCATGACTAGAGGACAGCTCACTGTGGAACCGGAGCAGGGGAGTGGCACTGAACTATTCTCAGACTGACAGGACTTTGACTGTTTAGATTAGAGCATGGCGTCAATTCAAAATGTCAGATATATGACAAGGACTAATATAACCATATAGTAAGTTGACGTTTTATCCATATAATGCTGAAGCTTAAATATAAATGCGTCCATTTGCTCACCCTCCTTTTCAGGAGTTTAAATGGTATCTTCCACCGGACTCTCCATGGAAACAGTGCAAGGTGGGGCGCACCACAATACACATACACCTGTTGTAAAGGTGGGGCCCCAGCCTGCCTCACCACAGTCAAATGCACAGGTGACTCAATTTGCACACGCATACTTATTCAAAGCAGACGCTATATACTGAGAGTCAAATAACAGAATAGGACCCATCAGGAAATACAGAGCTTGATGAAATAGCGTATAGGAAGAACTGTATGTAGTAAAATGAGTACACTAACTAATGCTAGTTTAGCATATGAAAATAGAGGAGGAATCTAGTTTATGAACCAGTATGGGTTATTCCATCCTATAGAAAATAACATTTGACACTCAATGTTACACATTAGACCCCAAACAATACGGACCACAATTCTAATCAATCGACATGCACTGGCTTTAGCAAACTAGTCACATTGAGAGCAATGCAACAGTAAACAAATCATCAACATTCCAGTGACAAATGCTAACGGCTAGACAAACTATTATGGATGTGCAAGCTGGTTAGTCAGTTAACCGGTGACAAAAAAATAATCGTTATGCCCATAACGGCTGATAAAAACAGTTGACAAAAAACAATTGTGATGCCCATTCATAGAAACTAGAACAGTTACAGCAAATATTTCACATAACTCTCCAATTAAACATGTTTCCTTCAATTATCCCATGTCCAAATCATTTTCATTCATCTCATTTCACTTCTGGTAATATCCTGGGCAGTACTGTATGCTAGTGTGGGCATACTGAATGCACCCACACATTCCTATTGAAACAATACAGCATCCACAATAGCTTGTGAATAACCCCCCACCTCACAGCCTCAGAGGCCCTTTTTGTGTGCACTGGTAAAGTTCCCAGCATGAGGAGAGTGGAGGAGGACAGCCCCGCTCACCTCCCTCCAACCCCCCCTCCCAGGCCAACAGAACTGTAAGCCCTGGGCTTTGTGAGCAGGGTGGAGATGGAGGGGGAGCGATGGAGGGGGTAGCAGAGAGGGAGGAGGAGAGGGGTACTGTAGGAGGAGGAGAGGAAAGGATTGGCTGGCAGCCGATGTACATGGTCCATGCCCTCCCCACTGCCGAAGTGATCAATATTCTGAGCATCACCCAGGGCTGTGTCCCTGCCAGACTCCCAGCCATGTGATCATGGAGCTAGGCCCAACCAGCAGGCTCTGAGCATGGCCAGGCTGACCATGGCTGCCCCTGGCCTTCTGGAGCACTCTTCTGGCTCTCTGCAGCGCCAGGTTTAGGGAGCTGTAGCCCACTGAGCCGCCAGTCTCCACAGCACACCCTCCCCTCCAAACCTTCCCCTGCTTACATGTACTGTCTGCTTCATTATGAGCCTCCATCTCTGGCCTCGTCCCATACATCCGGTTAGTGCTGTAGTCAGCTCTTCTATCGGTGGTTTTCATATGGCGTGATAATGAACGATAGGAAGGTTGGCTACAGCACAAAGAGTATGGGACCAGTCTAGTGGCTAGGCCATCTCTGGCTGGCTGTCCGATCATGATGTTGGAGGAGATCTCTAGACGTGTGGATAGTTGTAAAGAGACATCCACACTACAGCACTGCAGCATGTTTATCAATGATCTGAATATAAAACCCTTTCATTTAGACTTGTTGGAACTGTTAGAATAGACCGGCAGTAGGTGAGGTGTATATTAAATGTCAAGAGGCCCTCGCAAGACAATCTACTGTAGTAACTGAGTCATTGAACATAATCTATAACAGCATTACATAACACCATTAACAAAGAGATCTTATCCAACAGAACAGGCCTCGTCTCATAATATATGGCCATCTTATATGACCATCATCAATCAAAACATATCTTCAGCCAAGGGCATAGGCCTAGTCGGGGGTTACATATATAGAGCCACTGATCATCTATGATGGCTCAATAAAAGCATCAGGGGATGAAGGCATATCTATAGTCTGCTAGGTGAAGCTGCTGTAACACATTTCCATATTATACTGCTCTGTGATGCAATGTGCTGCTGCTTTCCAAGCTGATCACATGACTCACCCAACAGCTTCACCGGTGTTGCTGACACCTACTGACTGTATAGGACTCAGATCGGGCGGCAGGTAGCTTAGTGGTTAAGAGCGTTGTGCCAGTAACCGAAAGGACGCTGGTTCTAATCCCCGAGCCGACTAGGTGAAAAATCTGTCGATGTGCCCTTGAGCAAGGCACTTAACCCTAATTGCTCCTGTAAGTCGCTCTGGATAAGAGCGTCTGCTAAATGACAAAAAATAAAAAATAAAAAAAAATAAAATAAAAAATCTATAGGACTGTTACTCTGACTGTACAGGACTCAGATCTATAGGACTGTTACTCACGCTGACTGTACAGGACTCAGATCTATCTGACTGTACAGGACTCAGATCTATAGGACTGTTATTCTGACTGTACAGGACTCAGATCTATAGGACTGTTATTCTGACTGTACAGGACTCACTATTCTAAAGCTCCATGGGTAGTCAGTCCGCTCTATGAAAAACCACCTTGTCATTCCCCTTCATTGCTACATTTACATAGTAGCCTTGTTTTGTGGTGCCACGGTTTCTGTTGTCCCTAATTCACCCTGGTTCCAATCAACAGAAGCTGATATCACATCCAATAGAACAAACTGATGGTAAGAGAAGAAACTATAGCCTCATCCTACAGCCATGGCCTCCTTGGCTGAGGTAAACTTTGTTAGATGCACCTGTTATCAGACAGACCAGAGTGAAGCAACACAGCAGCCCCTGGCTCAGTGGTTCCACCATCATGTGACTGACGCAATACATACTGGAGCGAAGAGAGAGACCGGCAGATTTAGACAGTCAATTCTCTCTCTCTCACACACACACACACACACACACAGTTAGATAACAGCTAGATAGATAACCGTCCCCTTCAGGCTTACCATCTGTGCATTCCTCATAGTACCAGTCTAGCTCATAGTAATCCGCCTCCACAAATTTCTGCATACTCAGTCCCCTTCAGTTGAGAGGAGCATCATCTTCTCCCGTCCTGCTGCGGAGGTCACGAGAACACCTGCCCATCCTTTCATTACATACTCTGAGTTCTCTAGGAGTCTATCATGATGAGGAGACGGCGTGGAACAGCACATTTTATCACTGGTACCAGAGCAGAAGGATGGGTTGGAGAGGAGTAGAGGAGAGGAATGAGAGAGAGAAAGAGAGATTTCCCAAAAAAAACGCAGCCCAAAACACAGTTATGCAGTAGGGATGTATTGCTGTCTGGTGGTGAGTCAAGGTTGTATCACAGATGAGGGAGGGGCCTGGGGAGGGCCACGAGCGAATGAGGAAGGGCTATGTCAGAGGCATCCTCCTGGCTCTGAGCTGTTTCGTCAATAGCAACCTGCTTTCGCCCCTCCTCTCTCTCCTCGGCTCACCCTCCCTTTCTCCAACAGTACGTCCTTCTGTGAGGTTGCCATGGAGACTGGCTCCCTACTCCAGCACTGAGTAGCATCTGAATGCAGGCTAGTGTTGCTACTGCTGCTGCCTCTGTATGCGACCAGCTCTCTGTTCATGTCTGCCTCGTCTGGTACAGCACCTCTACTACAGGGCAGGGAGTTCACCTTGCTGAATGATATTAAGAAATCATTCAATAGGTTTATAGTGGGGAATATAGTTCTCTCCCCCACACTGATTTACAGCAGGATAATAACAGAGATGCTTCTACTTCTTTAACATCATATCCCCTTGACAAAGTGCACAATGACCTATTCTAACACCACAAAAAAAGGACAGATGTCATTTTAGAGATTAAACAATGAGGATTATTATTCCATAGATTATAGAAACACACTTCATCAACCTGGCTACTGACTGATTCAACGGTGTATAATTCCATCAGTATTGCATCATATGGAGAGTAATGTGTCTGTGATAGAAGATGCATCATCAGAGTAGGAGTGGCATATCAGGGATCAGCTGACTAGCCAGATGACCAATGAACCACCCTGCTGCCTATCCTCATGGTGACATCACAATCACAGATGCAATCCTGGGTGACAAGACCGGAAATGACAAAACAAGATTGGTCATATAAATCACTATAGCCTAGTTCTGAATTTAAGCAAGGAGTAGAGTACAATATCTAAAACCCTCTATCAAAGAAAATCAGTTTCGGAACAGAGATTTGTGTTACGCTGCCCAAATGTGAGAATAAAGTACTGTGTCATTGTAGTCTAGATCTGCCACAACGTAGTCAGAGAATTAAACAGCCACAGCATGTGTTATAACAGCATCCTACTGTGCTGTCTTACAGACAACAGTACAGATACTGTATCAACGCAACACAGAACACATATCTGCTGACTGATGATGTCAAAGTTCCTGAGCTCTACAGTATGACCTACATTCACAATAGACGGCTGCTGACAACCAGTTGACATAAAGGTCATACACAAGGACAGATTAGTATGTGATTAGATCAGACCAGGCTATGACACACACACACACACACACACACACACACACACACACACACACACACACACACACACACACACACACACACACACACACACACACACACACACACACACACACACACACACACACACACACAGCCTTGTGTCTGTCCAGCCTCGCGCATCATGTCTGCTTGAGACACAGACAGACGTTAGAACAGACGTCCAGCACTGAGCTGATAGGACCAGCAGCAGAGCAGACTGGCAGAGCGTGGCGCTTCAGCCTGCCTGGCACCCACGGCCCAGCGGGTATGTTTGCTGTGGCAACCAGGCCCAGCTGTCTGTCGTTGACCCATATGGGCACAGGGCCATATTAAAAAGGCCTTGCTCTCTGTCTGTCTCTATCTTTCATTCTCCTTCGCCCTTTCTTTCTTTCTTTCTCTCAATCTCTTTCTGTCTCTCTGTGTTTGTATCACTATCTTCCTCTCCCTCTCTCTCACACACTATCTCAGACACACTTCCTCAGTCTCTCTCCGTCTCACTACTGCACCAAAATCTCAGCTGTTTGTCTTCCACCCCCATCACCCACATTTTCTAAATCGTTGATCTTGGCTCTAACCTGCACCATTTCCAAAAAGGCACTGCAATATGAGCTCAATACAATTACTACTAATGTCAAGGTGAAAGAGATGAACCAGTTGAATATCTCATCTGTGCCAGCGTACAACAGACCACATAAAAGGCTGAACAGAAAGCAGAGTAGTGAACAGCAGAGGGAGGGTGGGAGCCCTCGCCCCCCTGCCTGCATAATCTTAACAAAACAACCAAATACAAACACTGCGCTTACGGAAATACTTCAGAGTCTCCTCGATCTGCTCGACGGTTAGGTCCAGGTTGGTATCGGGGGAGAGGAGAGGGGTGTGGAGCCAGTCGTCGTGGTCATACCCGTAGATGGTGTCTGCTCTCAGCTTGTAGTGGGGTAGCTGCTCCTGCAGTAGACTGATGATCTCCACCTCTGGAAGATCAGTACTGTTACACACATCTGGAGAGGAGAGGGGAAAGGAGGAGGAGAGGGGAGGAGGAGGAGAGAGGGGAGGAGGAGGAGAGGAGAGGAGGAGAAGATAGGGAAAGGGAAGAGAGGAGGAGAGGAAGAGGAGATAGGACGGGAGAGAAGAGGAGGAGAGAAGAGGGAGAGGAGAGGGAGAGGAGCGGGAGAGACAAGAGGTTTGTTTTAGCCCCCTACAGCAGCAGGAGGTTTTGTAACAGGTGCGTGGTTGAAAAACACCAGAACAATGGCTGTTTATGTTTAAACTTCATCATCTAGAGCAGGGTTCCCCAACTGGCGGCCCGCGGGCAACTCAATATTGGGAAGGTGTTCTTAATGTTTTGTACACTCAATGTATGTGATCGAATACAAATGTAAGCAAGGTTTGAAATGATTATGTTTTAGTGAAATGTTATATCCGTTTCGGCTTCTTATGGTCAATTTGCAGTCTACAAATTATTTGTAATTATGTTCCGGCCCCCTGACCCAAAACATTGTCCCGCGGCTGAATCTAGTTAATGATCCCTGATCTAGAGTGAGAACAACAACAGTCTTGCTCATCAAGACGTAGCTTTAGAAAAAGCATTTTCAGCTCCTCAGTAGGCTTTCCCTCTGAACAATCTGCTTTTCTAAACCATAATCAAACAACAACCTCGGAACTATGGTCATAAGTGATGATATGTCATTGTATCTTGTTTACACATCAGAATCATCTTAGCAGTCTGTTTACATAAAGGGAGTGCAGCAACAGCTACGGAAAGCAGTGTAGGAGGACCTCTTCTGGCACATTGATGAACTACAATCCTGCTGATGTCTATGTATCACAATAGTGCTACAGAAAAACAAGATATGACAGTGATTTACAGAATAACTGATACTG